CTTCAAGGCTGAGTTGCTGTTGGTCCCAGTTGCTTCCACTTGGTTATAATACCACTAACAGTTGGAATATTTAGTAGCAAGGAAATGTCACGGATGGACTTATTGCACAGGTGGCATTGTGCCACGCTTAAATTCACTGAGCTCCTGAGAGCGACCCATTCTTTCACAAATGTTTGTGGAAGCAGTCTGTATGAATAGGTGCTTGATTTTATAGACCTGTGGCCATGGAGGTGACTGGAACACCTGAATCCAATGGTTTGGAGGGCTGGCCCAATACTTTTGGCAATATAGTGTAAGCAGGGGCGGACTGACCATTTGGAAACTCGGGCACTTCCTGAGGGCCCCGGGTCAGTAGGGGGCCCCATGAGATGCCCCTGGTACCTTTTTCATAGGCTTTTTTGAGTTTGGGCAAGGACACAGGGGCCCCATGATCCCCTATTGCCCGGGGGCCCCATGATTTGTCAGTCCGTCCGAGTGTAAGCCCACGTAATGTTAACAAACACATACCATCGCATGTGAATAGTGTATAATTAGGCAACTGACAACAGTAACAGCATAGTTAGGATACAAGCTGAAGAGAGTAGGAACAACATCCCACAATGTATGACATAATAAAAGTCACAATCGGTAAGTAAATGCACAGTGACCAGATGGATGAAAATAGGATTCCTAAAAATAACTTGCAGGAAGCCAAATGTTCCAGACCCTCATGACCCGATCATGGGAGAACTTTCCCTCTTAAACCGTAGTGGAAATAAACGTATAAAAATTGGAGAAGTAACAAAAATTATTCCAAACAGTCCAGGTAAGGCAGGGAGCTTCACATTTATCCTGCTCAGTAGCAAGCAATTTGAGGCTGATTAGGGTATTTGTCTCCCACCAGAGTATTATATAATTGCAATATTTTGTCCCAAAAGGGGACAATTTGCAGGCAGGTACCCTATATATGGACCATTAAGGGATCAGTTTTTATGAAGAGTCACCGGACAGCGATACCAGCAAGAGAAAATCCAGTAGTTGTGTTCTTGAGCATTCAAGGAAACTGACAATTTGTGTGGCAATGCTAGCACTTTGTGTACAGGGATGTTTATGATGTGTTTGCACGCATTTGTCAAATTGATATTTTACTTTTGGTCCTAACAAAAGTAACCCTGTCAACAAATGTTTGAACATCTACTAGTTATATTTTTGCAATCTTTACAATATGTGTTTACATTAGTCACAACTGTTTTAGCAATCAATGCAATTTATACAATTTAGCCTTAGTTCACACCAGTGCAGCTTTGAAGTTACGCAAGTTCAAAGCTGACTATTCAGGGTGACTTCATAGTGGCTTGCTGACAGTCTATGCAACTTCATTTAACAGCTATCAATACAAGTCACAAGGAAGCCACACAAACTCAGTACAGGAACATTTGTCAAAGTTGCTACGATTTGAATGGTTCCATTGCTGCTAATGAGGTGCAACTTGTCATGCAACTTTGAACTCTCAAGTTGAATGACAAGTCACACTGGTGTGAACCAGGGCTTATAGAGAGTTGCCAGCCTTACTTATGCTACCCTCTTGAGGGCCGCTGTGTTTCTGGGTCCCCCTAAGCTTTGCACAGCCAGGCAACAATAATTTTCCACACTTGCATCCACAGTTAGTGAACAATCCATGATTGGTTTGTGTTATTTTATTGGGGAAAATAACTTGGATGGGGTAGTAGGGATTACGGGATGCCCAGCTTGACTGAATCAATGCATGGGGACAACTTCCTTCCTAATTATAGAAGAAAGATCCTGGACTGATCTTCTCCTTGAATTGTGGTCAGTGTTTACAGTTCAGTAGCAAAAACCCCTTATGGGCTAGGGACTTTCAGCCCCTCCATAAATTAGCACAGATTGTTGCAAACTACATGCAGAAGTATCTCCTCTCCTGCAGAACTGCTCCAAGCTCCAGAGCCTACAGACACTACCAACTACTAACAGACGCGACCAACCATGTGGTTGTGGTATAGTTGTCCAGTAATTAGGGGTTAAAATATTCAGTGAGGAGGTGATACATATATGGATATATCAGTGACGTCATAAGGGGGTCTACTTTAATGTTGGGGGGAGGCGGAGCTGTCATTTGGTACTGGCAAGCGATGGGAGCAGTCAGGTTGAACAAATGACATTTTTTTTTTGTGCGGAGAGGCAGCCTTCATTCATCGAGACTGACGTGGACCTACTGTACATTTCTGGATGACATGACTGACGATGGATGTACATCAGGAGGACATTTTTGTTTTAACCACTTGCCCTCCAGAGGATTTACCCCCCTTCCTGACCAAGCCATTTTTTGCATTATGGCACTGTGTTATTTTAACTGACAATTGTGCGGTCATGCAACACCGCACCCAGATTAAATTTACGTACTTTTTTCTCACAAATTGATCTTTCTTTCGGTGGTATTTGATTGCCTGTGCGGTTTTTATTTTTTGCACTATAAGCAAAAAAAAGACCGACATTTTTGAGGAAAAAAAACAATATTTTGGACTTTTGCTGTTAAACATGTCCAATAAAAAAATTTTAAAAATCAAATTTCGTCATAAACTTAGGGCAAAATGTATTCTGCTACATGTCTTTGTTAAAAAGAAAAATCCCAATACGTGTAAATTAATTGGTTTATATAAAAGTTATAGCATTTACAAATGGCGGTAAAGTATAGGGTTAACTGTGTGCAGGGAGTGTTTTACTAGGTGGAGGGGGGGGGTGTGCTTCACTGTAAGCACACTGATCGGGATGGCTGTACTGTGCACAGCCATCCCAAGCAGTGTGCCTGAGCTTACAGGGAGGAAGACTGTAAACAAAACTTGTCAAAAATTGTGTTGTGCTTTTATTTACATTTGGATTTTTTTGTCGAATCAGTAGGGTATTATGTACCCCAAGTGTTTTCAGTAGCATTTAGCGTTGTTTTCTGCTTGAAAAACACTCCAAAAGACTCTACATAAACAATTTTTTTTCTGCTCCTAGATGCTGAAGCAAAAAAAAAAAAAATGCTAATAGCCTAAAGTAGTGTGCATGGACACATAGGATAATAAATAAATAACACTATTTAGCTTTTAGGAGCAGAAAAAAATGCTAATAACAGCTTCAAATAGCTTAAAAAAACACTAGTGCATGGAGCCTAAAAGTAAGACGCAGGTCTGGCTGGATCCCATTCGATACAGTGTTGCACTAATCATGGAAGAGACTTTTGTGAAAAACTATACAGTGTGCACACTAACAGATACCATCATAGTGATGGTGCTCCAAACCCATCAGGGCTATCCTGCCGAGAACCAAATCTCCCAAAAGTTACATTTCCAGCATGCTGGGATTTCTGTCACAGTTGCTTGTGCTTTCAACTGAACTGTTAAGACATCAAATGACTGGTGTCAAATCTGATCACATGTGCATCACCATGGCAACTGCAGATTAAATAGAGGCTAAGATGGCAGCTTCCTTGGTTGTAAAGGAGAGGAGGGTTTAGTTTCCCTTTTACTGTATATTTCATACATAAACCATTTTATAAAGGGTGCCCTTCTAAGGATATCATCTAAGAATATTCTTCTCCTTTCCAATGTTTTGGGGGTATATGACGTCATTGTAGATGGCAGAGCCCCCTGTACAACACTGCCCTCCTCCGGTAGGATTATTCCAGGTAGTACTCCTTGTATCCTCAAGTAGATGAGGGCTGAGGATGTGATTGAACTCCTCCGGGATTTCTGATCCATTTGCAGCCCTTCATAGGCTCACACTTCCGGCACAGATATTATTATTGCTCCTCCTGCCGGGACATTAGTACCATCGCCCAGAAAAGATATTTTACTGATTGAACCGACCTCTTCTTCAGCTAGTTTTATTAACCACTTTCCCACCATCCTATAGTAGAAGTACTACTACAGGGCGGCAAGGCTGTGCAAAATCACATAAATACGTCATTTTCATTTCCAGGTAGGGGGCGAGCGCCGCCCTACCCACGCCGTTATTGGGATGTCAATCACCAGGTCCCGGCTAGCGAGTCCTGGCCGGCACTCGGCCATTGTTGGGTAAAGCTGACATGGGAGAGAACTGTATGTAATCAACACAAGTCTCTCCTGTCAGCAAGGACATGCTGTTTTCTATTTCTCTGCACAGCACAGTGATACAAAGCAGCATGTCTCCCTAGTAAAACACACACAGCACGCAGTTAACCTTTTGATTGCCCCAGATGTAACCCCTTCCTGCCCAATGTCATTATTACAGTGTCAGTGCTTTTTATTAGCACTGATCACTGTATTGGTGTCACTGGAGATGTCAGTGGCAGTTAGTTCCCTTCCAGTGTCACAATGCCCGCTGCAGCACCGCTATAAGTCACTGATCGCCGTCATTACTAGTACGAAAAAAATAAAAATAAAAATTCCTGTATATATACCGCCATTTGTAGACACTATTACGTTTACGTAAACCAATTAATTTACACATATTGGGATTTTTTTTAAGCAAAGACATGTCGCAGAATACAATTTGGCCCAAATTTATTAAGAAATTTGATTTTTTTAATTTTTTTTTATCGGATATGTTTTAAAGCAAAAAGTAAAAAAAAAAAAAAATTTCAAAATTGTTTGTCTTTTTTTGTTTATGGCGCAAAAAAAAACAAACGTAGCGGTGATCAAATACCACCAAAAGAAAGCTCTATTTGTGGGGGGAAAAGGATGTAAAGGTCATTTACGTGCAGCGTTGCATGACCGCGTAATTGTCAGTTAAATAATGCAGCGCCGTATCACAGAAAATGGCCTGGTCATGAAGGTGGGGGGGTAAATCTTCTGGAAGGCAAGTGGTTAATACAATCACAACAGCGAGAGAAGCAGTGGTGAACATGTCATTTTGCCAACACCAAAAATGGCGTCGGAAGTCTGATGACACGACGGCGTCTTAGTGACGTCAGTAAGGCGACACTGCAATATGGCTGCGTTCGTGGGCTCCCCATGAGGCTAATGTAATCAAGGACGAGAATGTGGGGGTGCTGCTGTCAGGGCGGTGGGGGTCGGCTGTGTCCGGGGACTGGTCGGGAGAAGAGCAGGTCAGTGTCCGCGATGTGTGATCCCCACAATGACAGGATGGAGGAGGAGGGGGGCCTCCGGTCACTGCATGAGATCCCGTCACAGCACACCACAGCTAGGGAGAGCAAACCTTCACCGTCCTGCAGAGAGCGAGCTCCCGAGGACATGATGATCACCGTGTACCAGAGGGGACACCCAACATGGGACCTGGCAGGATGACTTCAACTGTTACATCCTATACAATATCTAATAATACATCTAGAAACAGAGAAGCCCAGGATTCAAAATTGAGATCAGGATTTAATGCAGTGATTTTTTTTTTTTTTTTTTACAACACGAAGTGGGGCTGTGCGTGGATAGGCTGGTCGTTATTTCTAGAGGTGAGGACTAAGCTCATACTCACCTGATTCGCCCATCCTACGGAAAACCAAGCTCCCCCATGGTCCAGCGGTGGACTGTTCCTGTCTGGAATGTGCATTGAGCATGCTGTCGTTAGGAACAGTCCATTTACAAGGCTGCTGGGGGGGCTAGGTGAGTTTTCGGTGTCCTCTCCCCTAGAATAAAACAAACATTTGACCCATGCAGTGCTGAAACAGCCCCGCTGCAAGGGTCAAAAAAATAAAAATTTGCAGGATTTCTGCTTTAAAAATAAGTCAAATCAGTTGAGTTTAGGATTTAAAAATACAGTAATACCTCGGTTTACGAATTTAATTCGTTCTGCAGGACTTTTCGTATAGCAAACAATTCGTAAACCGAAACGCTGTTTCCCATCCATACCAAGCGCTTCGGGTCTGGTATGGATTTTGAAGGGAACTTCCAGATTCTGATAAACCCCCTCACTGCAGACCCCCACAGCCACTGGCCAGGGTTGTGGGGAAGAGGCACTTGTCCCCATCAACATGGGGACAAGGTGCTTTGGGGAAGGAGCCCCCCCTGCCCCAAAGCAACCCCCCATGTTGAGGGCATGTGGCCTGGTATGGTTTAGGAGCAGGGGCACTCTCTCGTGTCCCCCCCTCCTTTCCTGACCTGCCAGGCTGAATGCTCAGTTAAGGGTCTGGTATAGATTTTGATGGACCCCCACACCATTTTTTTTTTTTTTAAATTTTGGTTGTGGGAGTTCCCCTTTAGAATCCATACCAGACCTGAAGAGCTTGGTATGGATGGGAGGGCGGAACCCACGCTGTTGTTTTATTTATTATGGTGCTGGTTTTTAAATGTAATTGCCGCTTTTTTTTTTCTTCACTATAGCTCAGAAATTCAGCTGTCACTTTCCCCCCAGCTAAAAGAAAGTTTTCTTTTAGTTTATTTCCCTGAGTTAAGAGAAACAAAGCTTCTGTTAACTCCGAGGAAAGTGACAGCTAATTCTGTGAGCTAAAGTGAAGAAAAAAAATAGCCGGCAATTGCATTTAAAAATCAGCACCGACATACACTTCATATTGTGAAAATAATTAGTAAAAAATGTCTAAACCAGTGGTTCTTAACCTTGTTGGAGGTACTGAACCCCACCAGTTTCATATGCGCATTCACCGAACCCTTCTTAATTGGAAAAATAAAATATGATTTTTCAAATTCAAAACATAGGTATATATTTATATTTATACATAGGTGCACAAAATGAACAAAACCATTAAGAACAAAAACAAAACCATTAAAACATGATTTTCACACAAAAACAAAAACATAATAATGAATATTTACTGCACGAATCATATGAGTTGGGTGTGGGTCTTCACCTCCGCCGAACCCGCGAGACTGACTCACCGAACCCCTGGGGTTCGATCGAACCCAGGTTAAGAACCACTGGTCTAAACTGAGGCATTATTTTCAATGGATTTTCATTCGTAAACAGAAAATTATGTTAACCGAGGTGTTTGTAAACCGAGGTATTACTGTAGATCAAAACAGTTGAGCCCATGATTTAAAAATAGATCGAACAGTCAGAAGGTGATGTGGAAAAAAATAGTGGGAGGGGCATTTCAAAACTTTATTGAAATGCCATGGACAGCAGAGAATAATGATCACAAGTTTGAAACGTCAGTTGAAACTCGTCGGTAGAAAGTGGGTAACCCTTGGGTCCTACATCATCCTGCATTTGGACAAGGTATCTAAGTTTCACTGTCATTTTCTTTTTTGTGAATGTCCAATGAACCTAATTTTAACCTTGGCCAACGAGCGTGAGTTGGGAAGCCAAGCTATTGCTATAGTTTGTTTTCTGGCCACAGGTATATAAAATCAAGCACCTAGGCATGCAGACTGCTTCTACAAACATTTGGGAAAGAATAGGTCGCTCTCAGGAGCTCAGTGAATTCAAGCGTGGTACCGCGATAGGTTGCCACCTGTGCAATAAGTCCATTCATGACATTTCCTGGCTACTAAATATTCCACAGTCAACTGTTAGTGGTATTATAACAAAGTGGAAGCAACTGGGAACAACAGCAACTCAGCCACGAAGTGGTAGGCCATGTAAAATGACAGAGCGGGGTCAGTGCATGCTGAAGCGCAGAAGTTGCCAACTGTCTGCAGAGTCAATAGCTAAAGACCTCCAAACTTCATGTTGCCTTCATATTAGCACAACAGTATGTAGAGAACTTCATGGAATGGGTTTCCATTGCCGAACAGCTGCATCCAAGTTTTACATCACTAAGTGCAAAGCATCGGATGCAGTGGTGTAAAACACGCCGCCACTGGACTTGAGAGCAGTACGAGTCTGGGTTTGGCTGTTGCCAGAACAGTACTTGCCTGACTGCATTGTGCCAAGTGTAAAGTTTGGTGGAGGCGGCTTTATGGTGTGGGGTTGTTTTTCAGGGGTTGGGCTTGGACCCTTAGTTCCAGTGAAGGGAACTCTTAAGGCATCAGCATACCAAGACATTTTGGACAATTTCATGCTCCCAAATTTGTGAGAACAGTTTGGGGATGGCCCCTTCCTTTTCCAACATGACTGAGCACCAGTGCACAAAGCAAGGTCCATAAAGACATGGATGAGTGAGTTTGTGGTGGAGGAACTTGACTGGTCCTGACCTCAACCCAATAGAACACCTTTGGGATGAATTAGAGCGGAGACTCTGAGCCAGGCCTTCTCATCCGACATCAGTGCCTGACCACACAAATGCGCTTCTGGAAGAATAGTCAAACATTCCCATAGACACATTCCTAAACCTTGTAGACAGCCTTCCCAGAAGAGTTGAAGCTGTTATAGCTGCAAAGAGTGCAATATTGAACCCTACGGACTAAGACTGGGGTGCCATTAAAGTTCATGTGCGTGTAAATGAAGGCGTCCTTTTGGGCAATATAGTGTATACACACACACTGCTCAAAAAAATTAAAGGAACACTTTTTTAATCTAAGTATAGCATCAAGTCAGTTAAACTCCTGGTATATTAATCTGGTCAGTTAAGTAGCATTGGGGGTTGTTAGTCAGTTTCAGCTGCTTTGGTGTTAATGAAATTAACAGGTGCACTAGATGGGCGACAATGAGATGACCCCCAAAACAGGAATGCTTTTACAGGTGGAGGACACAGACATTTATTTTCCCTACTCCTCTTTTCTGACTGTTTTTCACTAGCTTTGCCTTTGGCTAGGGTTATTATCACTACTGGTAGCATGAGGCAATACCTGGACCCTACAGAGGTTGGACAGGCAGTCCAACTCCTCCAGGATGGCACATTAATTTGTGCCATTGCCAGAAGGTTTGCTGTGTCTCCCAGCACAGTCTTAAGAGCATGGAGGAGATTCCAGGAGACAGGTAGTTACTTTAGGAGAGCTGGACAGGGCTGTAGAAAGTCCTTAGCCCATCAGCAGGACCGGTATTTGCTCCTTTGTGAAGGGAGGAACAGGATGAGCTCTGCCAGAGCCCTACAAATTGACCTCCAGCAGGCCACTGGTGTGAATGTCTCTGACCAAACAATCAGAAACAGACATCATGAGGGTGGCCTGAGGGCCCGACATCCTCTAGTGGGCCCTGTTCTCACTGCCCGGGCATCATAGAACTCGATTGGCATTTGCCATTGAACACCAGAATTGGCAGGTCCACCACTGGAGCCCTGCGCTTTTCACAGATGAGAGGCTTTCACAGATGAGAGCAGGATGAACTCCTTGGACCTATTGTCAGACCCTCCACTGGTGCAGTGAGTCCTGGGTTCCTCCTGGTGCACAACAATGCCTAGCCTCATATAGAGAGAGTATGCAGACAGTTCCTGGAGGATGAAGGAATTGATACCATTGAATGGCCCCCACGTTCCCCTGACTTACATCCAATAGAGCACCTCTGGGATATCATGTTTTGGTCTAGGCTGCACCTCAGACTGTCCAGGAGCTCAGTGATGCCCTGGTCAGGTCTGGGAGGGAATACCCCAGGACACCATCCATCTTCTCATTTGGAGCATGCCTGATGTTGTCAGCCATGCATACAAGCACATGGAGTCCATACAAACTACTGAATACCATTTTTGAGTTCTGCAATGAAATTTCAACAGAATGGAGTAGCCTGCTGCATCATTTTTTCACTTTGATTTTCTGGGTGTCTTTGAATTCAGTCCTCTGTAGGTTGATAATTTTGATTTCCATCAAACGATGGAGCATCCTTACATTCCTAACACATTACCTAGTCCATATCAATGGGAAAAATATCATGCTGGGTATTGATACTGATATCTGATGTGTTTTCAAAGTGTTCCTTTAATGTTTTTTAAGCAGTGTATATACACACTCACTGGCCATTTTATTAGATACAGTTGTTCATTTGCTTGGTAACACAAATTGCTAATCAACCAATCACATGGCAGCAACTCTGTGTATTTAGGCATCTAGATGTGATGAAGATGACTTGCTTCAAACCGAGCATCAGAATGGGGAAGAAAGAGGATTTAGGGGACTTTAAACGTGGCATGGTTGCCAGACGGGCTAGTCCTGAGTGTTTCAAAAACTGCTGATCTACTGGGATTTTCATGCACAACCATCTCTAGGGTTTACAGAGAATGGTCCGAAAAAGAGAAAATATCCAGTGATATTTGTGTGAATGAAAATGCCATGTTGATGTCAGATGAGAATGGACAGACTGGTTCAACATGATGGGCAACAGTAACTCAAATAACCACTCGTTACAACCAAGGTAGGCAGAATACCATCTCTGAGCGCTCAACTCATCGAACCTTGAATCAGATTGCTACAGTAGCAGAAGACCACACCGGGTGCCACTCCTGTCAGCTAAGAACTGAAAACAGTTGCCCAGACTCACCAAAATTGGACAATTAAAGATTCAAAAAACTTTGCCTTGGCTATTGATTCTCAATTTCAGCTGTGACATTCAGATGGTAGGGTCAGAATTTGAAAGCATGGATCCATCCTGCCTTGTATCAATGGTTCATGGATGTGCAGCCAACCAATCTGAAGCTACTGCGTGATGCTGTCATGTCAATATAGACCAAAATCTCTGAGGAATGTTTTCAACAAGTTCTTGGATCAGAAGAGCTTTGAAAACCATTCCTCATGCAACCTTAGACAGTGTGTAAAAAAAGTGGGAGTGGGGCCCTGAACACCACTGAAGAAATAAGTTTAGGCTATGTTCACACTGGAAATTTAGGCTGGAGCAAATTTTAGAGGCAGGAATATTCTGATTTCTTCTGTGGCTCTGAGCAGCTAGGTGTGACTGCCAGTTCTGTTCACTATTATGACAGGTCGCAGGCAGCTGCAGAGCCAGCAATTACCGCAGGCACAGGTTCAAAGTCCAGCCCGCTGCCTGCAGCATGTCAAAGTCTATGACAGGCTGAAATAAATTGCAGCTAGATGCTGTATTACTTGGTATTCTCAATTCGGTCCCTATGTGTTCGGGGACTTATGTCTGGAATGCAGAAAACCTGTATTCTGAGCATATGTCCCTGATCTCATAGGGCCCTAAACAGAAGTACCACTTGGTTACAGCATCTAGCTGCATTGTATTTCAGCAAAGCTCCGTCTTTGACAGGCTGCATGCTGCACCTCCTGCCTCCCCAAAACTCTGGACGCAAGTGGGCTAAATGCCTAGTTTACAATGAGCCTCAGTGGGAGTGAGTGCCAGCTTTATTCATGTCATTAGTTCCAATGGTCAAAAAAAAAAGATCTTGCATTGATGTACAAGACTCCCTGCTTGGCATCTCTCCATATAGCACATAACGTGGAATGCCGTTTATTTGACCTCAAGCTCTGTACAGATGTTTGAAATAAAGCAGTGGACACTACAAGAATAGTGAGGAGAATTCTGGGAAATCCTGTGTACACACTGGTGGAAAGGAAATGTAGTCTAAAATTTTTGGTAATCCTGGTGATCGTCTGCAGAGCGGACAGGGGAGAGGTCTGTATGTAAACAATACAGGTCTTTCTCCTATCAGCATGAACAGGCTGCTTTGTATTGCTCTGCACAGCAGAGCAATACAAAGCAGCTTGTCTACACAGTGAAACACACAGCACACTATATAAAACACATAGCACACAGTGAACCCTTTGATTGCCCCAGATGTTAACCCCTTCCTGCCCAGTGTCTAGTACAGTGTCAGTGCTTTTTATTAGCACTGATCACTGTATTGTGTCACTGGGGATGTCAGTGACTGTCAGTTCCCCCCCCCCCAGTGTCAGAATGCCCACCGCAGTCCTGCAATAAGTCACTGATCGCCGCCATAACTAGTAAAAAATAAAAATTCTGGTATATATAACACCATTTGTAGTCATATAACTTTCACATAAACAAATTAATTTACACATTTATTGAGATTTTTTTTTTTTGTTTTAGCAAAGACATGTAGCAGAATACATTTTGGCCTAAATTTATGACAGAATTTGATTTTTAATATTTTTTTATTGGACGTGTTTAATAGCAAAAAGTAAAAAAAATGTTTTGTTTTTTGTTTTGTTTTTTATTTTCAAAATTGTCGGGCTTGTTTTGTTTATAGCCAAAAAAAAATAAACACACAGGTGATCAAATACCACTAAAAGAAATCTCTGATTGTGGGGGAAAAAAAGGACATAAATTTTAATTATGTACAACGTTGCATGACCACTCAATTGTCAGTTAAAGTAACGCAGCGCCATATCGCAAACAATGGCCTGGTCAGGAAGGGGAGTAAATCCTCTGGAGGGCAAGTAGTTAAAGCATAATTGCACAAACATATTGTTATCCTTTAAAGCTAGTGGGTCATCATAATAGCCAGGCAACTAACATTTTCAGGAGGAAAATAATGGCGCCTACCAATTGTCATGACAGCCAGTCAGTTAGCAGCTTTTTTAATTCAGTGCATGCTGCACGTGTGGTACTTGAATATGCGCAGAATCTTGGTATACTTAAAGACAGATTATCAAGTGGAAAAATGTTAAACTCCTGTAATTTACTTTACAGCGTGTCTTTATGAGGCCAAATTAAGGCACTTCTGCACCTATACTAAAACAGCACACTTGTATGATGTGTATTTTTCCATTCTGCATTGATGGGTAACTTTCTGTCATAATCTTATCTTATTGCCACCACTGATTATTTTACAAATTTCACAACTTGTTGTTACTTGCATTTTCTGCTTCTAGCCTGTGTCATACTTGTAAGGAAGCAGGAACCTTTGAGGATCGCCACGATTGCAGCATGTCTCCATGAAAAGGACTCTGCTATCGGGGAGTTTGCTTGGGGTGAGCAGGGAGCAGCCTGCAGAAGAATGTCTCACTCCACAGCCACCAGCTGTCTCCTTTAATAAAGGTAAAAGCCACAAACTGGAAACCCCACATAAAATATCGTATATAGTCTTGTCCATTTCTATGTCGTACTTTTATGTGATCTGTCTGGCATCAAATCTGTGATGGATGTTAAAGTATATGTAAACCCTCACCTTGTAAAACAACCCATTCAGTGAAAGGCAAAACATTTGTGTATACATATATTTAATATGTCCTTTTTTTTTTTTTTTTTTTTTTTTTTTTTTTTTTTTTTTTTTTTAGATAAGTGACCACATTTCCTGGCTGTGCGTGTCCGCACAATCCTGAATAATGTTTCTTAGCACAGCTAGAAAGCTGGCCACGCTGTGTTCTGCCTAGCGTGGTCTGCATTTAATAGGAAAGCAGAGGGACTGGCAGAAACACCAGGGATTTCACACAAAGGAAGCAATACAAAGAGAACAGGATACTTTTTCATACAAGTACATATCAGGAGTATGAAATGTTGGGTTTACATGTTCTTTAATCCTTCTGATACTCTTCTGAATAAAGAATTTATTTAACAAAAAAAAAAAAAAAAAAAAAAAAAAAGTCAAACGGCAAACATTACCGTACCCAGGAGTGTGGACATTTTTGAAAAAACTACTTTTCCAGGAAATAAATTGGTCTCAATCTACTTGTCCCTCTTGACAATCTACTTTCCAGTTAAAAATTAATGTTAACCAAAACTGTATTTAAATCTGAGGTGCTATTGGGAATGTCTCGGGCATTTAAAAACAAAAGGGGCTTTATGGTGAAACATTTAATATTTTTAACATTGTGCTTTTTATCTTTTCCTCTCCTCCTCCCTGCCTGTCTCAGCAGCACCGCATCCGGGGACTAGCAGGGAGGGGAGAGACCTTCCAGTGTAATGAGCACTGATTGGGTGCTTGTCAAGAAAGAGGAGTGTTGGGATTATCCTTGATCCCTTTCATTGCCAGATCCATTTTTGCATTTTTTGCACACGTTTAAGAAGTCATTTTAGGCCTGAAGATTACACAAACCCCCCAAACATTTATTTCTTGAAAGCAGAGAATAAAATAGTGGTAGTTCCAATTTTTTATGTCACATGATATTATCACAAAATTTCAGTAAAAAATACACTTGTTAATTTTAGGGCACAAAAAAAGCAAGAAATTACCCAATTTTTGGTAAAATATAAAAGATGAGGCTGCACCAAGTAAATGGATATCCAACATGTCAAACCCTAAGTTTGTGTGCGCTCGTGAAATGGTGACAAACTTTAGTACCCTATATTTTGTAAAGGTGACGCTTTTAAAGCCCCTTATAGGTAGTGGTGCACCAAAAATTCTGGTGCTGAAACCGAAATTCAGAATGCACTTGGCCGAAAACTGAAACCGAAATGGACAGTTTTTAAAAATATATTTTTCAAACTCAATTTTTTTGGTAAAAAAAATACACTTTAATCATGAAATAAAAACAAAACACAATATATACCCCAATTTGTTTTTAATATGAAAGATAATGTTAAGCTGAGTAAATATATACCACACATGCTCATGGAATTGCTCCAAACTATGGTACTTAAAAAATCTCTATGGATAATGCTTTAAAAATTTCTACAGGATACCAGGTTAAAGTTGCAGAGGAGATCTAGTGCTACAATTATTGCTCTTGCTCTGACGTTTTCAGTACGTTTGTACATGCTCTTGCTCTGACGTTTGCAGCAATACCTCACATGTGTGGTTTGAACACAGTTTATATATGTGGGCGTGGCCTACGTATGCGGTTACCACTATGTGCGTGCATGGGGGGACAGGGGCACTTTAAACTTTTTTTTTTTTAATCCCTTTTATTCCTATCACAAGGAATGCAAACATCCCTTGTGATAGAAATAAGCAGTGACAGGTCCTCGTTATGGAGACGTAGGGGGTCAATAACACCCCACATATCTCCTCTACAATGTAAAGTATTAGATCAAAAAAAAAAGGTATTGACCTAGTGCTTTTAAAAAAGGCAACAGAACCAGAAGGGACGTAATGACGTCGTTTCAGTCCTCCAAGGGCATAGAGGTGAGTGGAGGCCATCTTTCCTTCACTAATCTCTATGCCCAGTGTCGGGATTGTTGGTTGGGGTTATTTTCGGCACCTGTATTGGTGCTTATTTTCATATCAGCCAAAGTCCGATAAGGGTATTTTTGGACGAAACGTTTCGGCCACTGAAATTTCGGTGCATCCCTGCTTATAGGTCATCAATTTAACATTATGGAGGAGTTTGGCATGCGCGGAAATATGTTACGTGTATCGCAATCAACGTTTTCATGCATAGGCGCCCCAGCATGTGCTTTTACGTTTGTACATGTGTATATGTAGGGGTGGGGAAGCCTCAAAATGTTTTTGGGGGGGTGTGGGTGTTATGTGCTTGGGTGTAACTGTAGATTTTTACAATTAAAAAACCCAGCATGTCTCCCCTGTACTCCACTGGATGACAATTAAAGACAATGAATGCAGTAATTTTCTTTTTTAGGCTTGCTTTCTTCTATTTTCATGTGGCTGTCTTGCAATTTCAGGGATGATCTATAGCACATAACACTGGCAGGGGTGCTTAAAATGATCATCTTTTGTTTATGTAAAACCTATATCACAAAAGGGAAATAAAACTATTTGTTGTGACTGATTATAAAGTGTCAGGTGGAGTTTGACTTCAATTTATTAGTGTATCTAAATCTGCTAAAACATCTAAGACTCGTCTCCCCCCAGTAATGATACTGGGGGCACAATACCGCTCTCCAAGTCTGCTCCCTGTGCTCCTTCATCCAGAGTGGTATCTGTATAATACAGGAGGTGTGTTACTGGCCAGATCACCAGGAAAAAGCAGAGGTGAAAAAGCCAAAAAAAAAAAAGACAATTAATGCAGCCACCACATCTAATGGTTGATAAGCTAAAGCCAGCTGTCGGCTGATGTCACTCAGCCGGTCCAGGCTCTGAAAAGATCCCAGCCATATGGTCGGGATCCACCCAGAAGACTGGACCAGCAACTAACTCAGCCTCTCAATGAGTCAGCAGCCAGCTGCTCCCTCCCCCTTCACAGCCCAGCGTTCCAGTGAGCTCTGGAGGGGCAGAGCAGAGAACCGGTGATTGACAGTGGTCTTTGATCACTCAGTTCTCAGTCTTAGAAGCAGTAGGAAACAGATGCAGAATCGGATTGGTTGCTGCATCCACCTAGGTGAGTAATTATTTTTTTTTTTGGCAGTCCCATACTTCTATTGTAAGGTTTAAGTTCAGCTTTATTCAATCCTAACTGAAAAAAAACGCCACATTTGTTTTATTCATATATCTTGAGTTAAAGGCAGGTATAGCACCATGCTACTTAAAGTGGTTGTTAAGGCTGAAGGTTTTTTTTTAACCATTCATTCTATGCATGAAGGTAAAAAACCTTCAGTGTGCAGCTCCCCCCTCAGCCCCCCCTTTACTTACCTGAGCCCGATCTTGATCCAGCGATGTGGAGCAGAGGCTCCCCGCGGTTCTCTCTCTCCTCATTGGCTCAGACACATCAGCAGGAGCGATTGGCTCCCGCTGCTGTCAGTTGCAGCCAGTGAGAAGGGAGCAGCTGGAGAAGAGGCAAAGCCACGCTCTGTCTTATAAACACGCAGAGTGGAGTTCTGGACCACGCACAAGTGCCCCCAGAGCAAGCGGCTTGAAAGGGGGAGGGGCCAGAAGTGCTGGCGGGGGACCTGAGAAGAGGAGGATCGGGGCTACTCTGTGCAAAATCATTGCACAGAGCAGGTGAGTATGAATTGTTAAAAAATAAATAATTAAAAATAAATATATAGATAATATAAATAAAAATCATACAATGTGATTTCCTGAAATTTTTGTTTTAAATTCTGCCTCTGAGTGGAAATGCACCTACAATGTGAATTTCAGACCCCTCCATGATTTCTAAGTGGGAGAACTTGCAAAATCGCAGGGTGTTCAAATACTTCTGTTCCTCACTGTATAAGAAGCCATTGTGGCTGCTTCTGTGTAATCCAGTTGACTTTATGCAGTTTTATTAAGTAAACATTTATTTTCCTTCTGTCTCCTCAGCTGATCAAGACGGTTTATTGAAAAATACCCCAGATCAACCAGAGAACCCCAAGATCCTTAAAATTGCAATCATAGGGGCCCCAAATGCTGGAAAATCAACACTGTCCAATCAGCTACTTGGCAGAAAGGTATCCAATCAATAAATCTCAGTAAAGCCTTGTATTTAATATATTAATAAATCTCACTAAAACCTTGTATATAGTATATTCACGGCGATTACATTTTTTTTTTTTTTGTTATATGCAGCATTGTTGCAAGGATAAACCCTTTACATAAAATCCTATTGCATGCAGGATGTTGTGTCTTAGCTTGTTAGTGCTGGTCTAAAGTGCATCAAGTTGAGCAAGTATTTACAAAGTGAAGTATTGTTTTTTTTATTTTTTTTTTTGGCTTTCGATAAGGTGACCAAACATATCAGTAGATGATCATTCAGTGAATGCAACCAAAAAAATTACATTGAATAAGAATTGTAAACTACAGACACGTCAGATTGCTTTCCTAAACTTTCGATCCATTTCTTGTGTTTTTTTTTTTGTTTTTTTTTGTTCAGTCAAACGAAAACGGTTGTTTTAAATATTTCCATTGAATCACTTTTACCTAGATCAATCACAAATCGATATGTGAGTGGCCACCTTAAGTCAAGTGCTTATTGCCATCTGAGGTTTCCCTTCACTTCTTGTTACATTCAGATATCAAGGGTGTCAACAGCATAGAAAGTGAGGGAAAGATCTCCCAAATGTTGTTTGTTGCCTTTGGGAGAGGGACTCCCTTTCTTCCTATCCCAATGATGTATGCAGGAAATAGAGGAGACAGAATAATCTCAACAGGGGCTCAGACCACAATAAAAGTCTGCCATAATTTTTAAAGTATAACTGAAGACAAAACTTTTCTTCTTTTAGTTTTGGGTAGATTAGCAAGGGATTAGAATGCCTGTGAGTTATTGCTGTGTGTGCCCCCCTTAGGGAGATTCACTCTCTGTTAGTCCTGTTTACTGTTATCATCCAAAATAAAAGTAAAATAAAATTAAAAATTTTGGGTTGACACCAGAACGGTAATAGCAGGGACATTTTTAAATAGGGACCCTGGTGACACCCCAGAATTCCCTTAATTTGCAGGGATTTCCTCTCACTTCCTGTTTTGGCGATGGGACAGGAAGTAGAGCAAAATCTCCCCAAAGGAACACCGATGGCAGAAAATAACTGAAAGGAGTTGTAACTCTCCCTTACTCTATCCAAGATGAAAAAAATGTTTTGCCTGTAGTTCTTTTTACCTTTTTTTTTTTTGTTCAAAAATAAAAATGTTTTGTCTTGACTTTAAGCTCTTACAGCAATCCCACCTCTCCTTCCTGCTGTCTTCTAACCTAAGCTGCTATGAATATTTGTGTCGCACTTACCTGCCCATACCTCTGAACACTTCTAGCTGCTTGTACCTGAGCACAGCTGTAGCAGTGGGTCACTTGATCCTTTTCAAGGAGTCATTGACTTGGAATAAATATGCCGTGTGTATGTGTTATGGATCTGTGTTATGGATTCTCATAAAGGAGGTTATTAATAGGAAATGTAGACCCACGTATGGAGTAAGTTCTTTCAAGACTACAAAGAATGGGTAGCATAGTGTAGCGCACAGACATGCACCACTGTAATTTTACAGGGAGAATACAGCGATTTTACAATCACAGTAAAATGGGAAATGCTATGTAAAGGGAAACTCTAAACAATCGTGGAGTCTGTGCTGCAGCGAAGCCTAAAATGGATGACTAATTCCATGTTCTAGTTAGTGCTGGGAGCAGATGTTTGAATTCTAGAAATGTGTATGTTGAATTATAAGTCTCTTGCATGAAGTCTTTAAACCTCTTCTTTTTAAAACGTCCCTAAAATGTATATTACGAGCTCTGAGATTCCAGCATAGACAGATGCCTTCTGTTGTGTTCTTTAAAGTCTATGTGAACCCCTTACCTTGTAAAACAACCCATTCAAAAGAAATGAAAGGCAAATATTTGTGTGTAAAATAAATCTATATCTTTTGTTTTATTTTTTTATAAGTGATCACATAATCTCTGTTCTTGGTTTCCTAAAGGGCTTAGAGAAGTGGGGGTGGAGAAACAGTAGTACACTAATCTTCCCAGTGAATAGCTATCACAAATCTTGGCCATTCAGACTGTTCTCCTAGCAAAGCCAGAAAACTGACCACACTGGAATGAATATGCTCTTATGCCTAGCATAGTAAGTTTGAAATAGAGAAGCAATGAGATTGGCAGGATCACCAGTTGTTTCGCACAAAGGAAGCAAAGAGAACAAGTAGTGATATAGGAATATCAGGAATATGAAATGTTGGGGTAACATATTAATTCAGGAAGGGAGGTATTTAAAGAGGAATAATAACACTGAAGATGTCTTGTCTGATAATATTTGTACTTTTTTTTTTTCCAGCTGTTTCCAGTGTCCAGTAAGGTGCACACTACTCGCTGCCAAGCACAGGGTGTCATTACAGAAAGCGACACACAACTGGTAAGTGCACTGTGGCAGCTCCTATGACTATTCCTATTCTGTCTATTCCCAGACACTATTAAACAACTCATTCACTCCCTCATTATCTCATGTCTGGACTACTGCAACTCCCTTCTCACTGTCTACCCCAACACAGGCTATCCCCGCTTCAGTCTATCCTGAACTCAGCGGCCAGACTCATCCACCTTACCAATCGCTCCGCTTCTGCCACCCCCCTCTGTCATTCCCTCCACTGGCTTCCGATTGCCCAACGCATTAAATTCAAAATACTAACACTGACATACAAAACCATCAATAACGCTGCCCCAAACTACCTCACCGACCTGATACAAAATACCACCCAATCCTGTACACTTCGCTCCTCACAAGATCTCCTACTTTCTAGCTCCCTGGTCTCCTCCTCCCATGCCCAACTGCAGGACTTCTCCAGGACTTCCCCCATCCTCTGGAACTCACTACCCCAATCCATAAGACTGTCACCTACCCTCCTCACCTTTAGGACGCACCCTGAAAACCCATCTCTTCAGGGAAGCCTACCCCACCCTCACTTAACAGCCAATCTCCTCCACTCCTCCTACCACTCCATCCCCCACAGCCACTTCCTCCTGTACCACTATCCCCTCCCTCCTAGATTGTCAGCTCGAAAGAGCAGATCCCTCGAAACCCCTCATGTATTGTTTTGTTACTGTATTGGTCTCATGTACTGTCCCCCACTATAATGTACAGCGCTGAGCAAACCTTTTGGCGCTATATAAATACTGTATAATAATAATATTCATAGAGACATTTGGGTAGAAACGTGAATCACAACATCTGCAACCATACTCCTGTCTGGGGGGTCATAGAGCCAAAACATGCAAAGGGTCCAGAATATCAGCATCTGTGCTGCTGTATATAGATTTTGCATGACAAAATAAATTGGGGGGGGGGGGGGGGGAGCAAAAGAACTGGTGCCACTTTAATATAAACAGTTGATGCCTTCACTTGCAAAACCACTTCCATATCAGTGCTCATTCTATAGAAAAAAACTTTACTAGGGTGTCATTGCTGATAGAGGACATATTTTAAGTTTATGATCTGTACATAAAACAGTTACATTGTAAGTGGAATTTTTTTTTTCTCTCCAGATTCTGCTAGACACACCTGGTATGGTCAATGCTGTCAAAGCTAAAAGGTACTTTTACATCAAAGCTCTAACAGATACTTGCATTAAGGGATGTATTCTGTTATTTTATTGGATGGTAAAGAGAATACAGAGATCATAATATTTTATTTAATTCCCTTTGTCAAGATCTGTGAGTTTTTGTTCCACTACTTTGAGTCAGAATGTTTCTCAACTGGGAGCAATTTTGAAATGGAAGCTGACATTTGATTGTTGCCTTTTCAGTTTTCAATAGTTCAGTTAATCTCCTATCAGCGCTTTATTAATTCATGTTTATTTTATCTAATTTTTAATACAACATAGCTTTCTTGGAGCTTGCAAAGGCAGAAATCCCCTTTTACTCCCAACAGGCCACAAATGTGCATTCTGTCATACTGATATCATGAGCTAATCAAACTGATGTCATTCTTTTAAAGGCCTCCAAAAGTCTTCTTAAAGTGAACCTTTTAATGTTTAAACGGACAAAAATGGACCTTAATGTTAAAATGTAAATCCTCTCAAACTGCTGTCCAAGACCAGAACCACATAAGGAGTTAACTTTTCTTAGCCTCCAAAAAATTGTGTGTATTTCACTTTATTACTGGTACCACAGTGCCTTAGTAGCCAATATGAGCACTAATGGACAGGAAAGTGGTAGTTGCTGTTAAACACAATCTGTTAAGCCAGACTTCTGCTTACAAAATGTATTTACAGGTACCTTGTACCTGGGGTCTTGTGCACATAAGTATACAATAAATGACAGTTTTGCTTTAAAAAACATTTTTCATTGGCTAAGAATAGAGGAGTGTCCACCTGAGGATCCAAGTTATTCTGTTCACTCGAAGAATGGGCACCACATAAGTCCGTCTGGTAAAAATCCTTGCAATATACTGCTTGTGTTCTGTTTCAGAAAGGTTGTTACACTGCCCTGAAATGAGCATTCGCTGTAAAGCCTTTATCAATTCCACAGTCAACATTAGTAGCAATGTTGTACTAAAAAAAAGAAAATCTTTCGATATAAATAGATTTGTGTGATTGCCACCATCCATATGTTATATAAACAAAAAACAAGGGTACTCATATTGGGATTTTGAAGGACCTTCTACCACAAATTTTGATTAAAATATCAATGTTTATTTGTACAATTAAAATTGTGCCAGATACATTAAACAATCTCCATAATGAACTCCAAACATAAATGGAGGACTTTGAATATCACATAGTGAGATTGATAGCATGATGTAATACAAATCCAATGGTGTCCCCCACAGCTGATTTTCACTCCACATCCATGTTCTCTTGATTGTTGGTTTATTCAGCTAGGGAAATCCAATGCTTGCTATACCACAACTACCTGTAGCATTTCTGAACTGTGGTGTTAAAACAGAAATATGGGTTTGTAAGAAAAAAAAAAAAAAAAAAAGTGTTACTTTCCTAGGTGGATACAGCATCGATCCTATGTATGCTATTGAAATATACATTTACAATGTGTGCTTTGTGTAGACCCTGTATTTTGCATTCTGTTGTTTTAGCCAACTAAATTATTTTTTTTCTGTAAGGCACACTGCTTCCTTCAACACTGGCCTTTTATGGTTCTTTCTGTAACCATGTAAACTGTGCAGACCTGAGAACTGAATTCATAAACAAGTATTTCCTTTAACTCTACCCATATGGTGCTTTCAGAAGGCTTCCAGCCAAGCAAAAAATCAATAATATATACATATTTGATCAATAGGTTTTTTTTTTATCCATGTTGGCTTTAGGACTTTACTGCAGGCAGGGAATCAATGTACAGAGTAGAAAAGGTTAATGTGAGATTAGATACCATTTAACAGAAATGCTGGACTCTTCTGTGGATTCTTTATGATGGTTGGTGCAAAAAAAAAAAAAAAAAAACAGCTGCTTCGGGCAGTTATAGCTTAAAGTGTTACTAAACCCAGGACCCTGCATTCACTATATTTGGTCTCTCACAGTACACAGAACATGGAAATGCAATTATTTTAGTAAATATAAATGACAGAGCAGTCTTGTGACCTCTGTCGGTGTCCAGCACAGCACTGGTTAAAGCTTGTAGGAGGAATTTTCATTCTCCACATGAGGCTGCAGGACCCTTGACCCCTCTCTCGCTGGATTGTGCTGTTTGGCCCTGGGCTGATCACAGGCACTCTTCCCAAGAAAAAAAAAAAAAAACTCTTTAGCTATACACACAAAACTGAGCATGTGCAGCTTGCTCCCGATTCTCGGTTCTATCAGGAGATATATTGGGGACAGTAGAAGAAGGGAAGGATCAGAGAAGACAGGACCAAACATCCTTTTTTACACAATGCACAGGATTAACCCCTTAGGTTCCACAGTGAGTATAAAAGCATGCTTTACTGCATATACGGACTGATTTTACTGTTGTGGTTTCACTCTTTAATAGGCAGTTTTAGGAGCCCAGATTTGCAGATCTTACCTTGTTACTGATGTTGGGCATTATAACAAGTGGAAGTGCTTCTGGATTGCTTTGCAGATTTGGTCCTCAAACGGTCCAAAGGCGCTAACACTTGGTGGACTAATGTAAATGCAATTCACCTCCCCACAACCGTGTGCTACTGGAGAAATCATAGGTTGCAGCTTTGCATACTTGGTGAGAATTTAGAGGTTCTTACTGACTGAATTATAAGTTGCATCCAATACTACTTGCTAAATAGCTTAAAATTAGTAGCGGGAGAGTAAAGTGTTTCTGTCATGGTGTAGCAAGAAGTGAATAATTTGCTAGTGGAGCCATGTGTGGGGGGAAAAAAAGGGACACCCGCTGTTAAACATCCAGCAGCAATAAACCTGTCACCTAGCTTCGTGATATTTGTTATGATAACCACTTTTGTTTTTTTTTGTTTTATAAAGTGGTTGTAAAGGCAGAAGGTTTTTTAACTTAAAGCGGTAGTAAAGTTTGCGAATAAAATAAAAAAATCTCCCTGCAAGGTAATATAATTTGCTAGTTTAGTATGTATTGCATACTGGTATATTATGAGAAGCTTGCCTTACAACGAAGCCTTCCAGCAGCGTGCTGTCACTGCTGCAGAGGCTTCCATCTTCACTCGGTCTTTTGAGGTTCACAGGCTGGAATCATGGTTTACGGCACAGAGCTTTGAGGGAACGGCATGGGCATGTCATTTCTTCAGAGCACGTGCATCGGTAACATCATTGGCTAATGTTTACTGGAATGTCTCCTAAGTGGTGCATGTTTATGAGATATTCATTTTACCTACAGATAAGCTTTATTAGAAACTTACCTGTAGGTAAAAATAGGGGAAAAGAGTTTACTACTACTTTAATGCATTCTATGCATTAAGGTCAAAAACCTCCTGGGTGCAGCTCCCCCCCCCCCCCCCTTTTACTTACCGGAGTCCCCTCTTGATCCAGCGATGTGCATGAGAGCCTCGGCTTTCCTGGGCCTCTCTCTCCTCATTGGCTCAAGCACAGCCAGTGAGCCAATGAGGAGAGAACAGGGGATGGGCAAAGCCACACTCTGTGTGTGAATGGACGCTGTCCACTCACAGGGGCACTTCTCAGGGGTGAGCCATGCTTGAGTGCCCCATAGCAAGAGGCTTGCTATTGGGGGCACTTGGCAGAGGGGAGGTCCATCAGTGGGGATCCAAAAAGAAGAGGATCAGGGTTGCTCTGTGCAAAACCATTGCACAGATCAGGTAAGTATAACATGTTTGTTGTTTTTTTTTTTTTTTTTTTTTTAATTACATTGTTTAGAATCACTTTAAAATGTAAATATGTAAACCCTCACCCAACCTATTCAGTTTAAAATGGAAAGGAAAAGACAAAACATTTTGTGTATAGATATAAAAACATTATAAATTCCTTTTTTTTTTTTTTTTTTTTTTTACCCGGTTTGAAGGGGCTTTGTACATTTTTGGACTAAATGTACATCGTTTGGCAGGTATATATATATTTAACTGTGTATTTAAATGTTTGCCTGGAGTTTATCCCCGAGGTGCTTACTGGTGTAGGAGAATCTCTGCCTCATCTGTCCATTTATAGTCAAAATGGGCATCTAAAGTCTCCCAGCATCTCCCATTAGAGCGTAGTCTAGCATTCTTGGGGATATGAAAACATTTGGTTGGGGTGGCTTTTCCCTGTACTTGGTTCTTATACAGGTAAAATGTGTTTCTCTAAATGTAAACCTGCATTAACAGTTGGCTGTTGGGTTGTGAATTCTACTCTTTGCAGCCACCTTTACTTTCCTGCATGTTTACTGTACATATAAAATGTCAGAAAAGCTACGTCATGGTAAGTTCAGAAAATAATAATTTAATCCATCTATTACCATGACCACATTGTGCTCTTTGGTAGACCTCAAAACCGGGAGCCGTTTTTTTTTTTTTTCTCTAGCTCCATGTTTTGAAAAAAGTACCAGAGCTGCATATGCCACTTGATGGAGCGTCATCATTGGAGTTCTAGATCTGAACTCCGATTCCAGTGCCAATCTAGGCAGAAACCACAAAAGGATAAATCCACCTCCTTCTTTTTCTAGTTAAAAAAAAAAAAAAATGTGCATTTATTTATTTTTTTTTATTAGAAGCCTGTAAAGTACCGCACCCTTGATCAGCAGATCACTGGTATAGTGTGATGGTCCTGCAGACTGTCAGTGTAATTGTCTGTCTGTATCTCATACAGGCAGGCAGTTACTGAATGACAGGAAGAATCCATGAACTACTAGAGCGCTCACCAGTGCTCCAATAGTTAATTGAGAACTAAAATCCGTCAGCTGCAATGGGTGACAATAGTTGTAGTTCTTCCATTCACAGAACTCTGTGAATTGATGACTTGGCCGGAATGGAATGTGGGAGGGAATCCGTGCAAGCACAGGTTGAACATTCAGAGTTCATGCAGATAGTGTCTTGGCCTGACTTAAAGCAAGGACCCCAGTGCTGCAAGCCATAAGAGCTAACAACAACGCCACACTGCCTCCCAATAATTTATTAATTGTATTTATTTTGTGTTTGTGCGTAAAGAATGTATTAAATGTATAAGCCAGCTTTTCTATACATGGACTGGCCAGCCAACAAAACCTATTTTATCTTGTTCTGTTTTATTTACCTCAACATTAATGATTTCTACCTTTGTCCATCTTTGACTTGCCTCCTGGTGGGTCAAAATGTTTTTTCCATGTTATGATATGTTTCAACTGCTGTTATTTTTCTGTACGGAACACTGTTTATAACAAAATGCAAATCAAAACCTAAAATTATTGAATCGCAAATTTAGAAGGCCACAAGTATAGTGGTGTTGCTATGCCCTAAAGATATTTAATATAAAAAAAATTGAGTTAAAATCCCTAAACTGTACAGGGTGCAAAATCTGGTGCAGTTCTGACTAGAAACCAGTCAACTTCCAGGTTTTATTGCCAAAGCTTAATTGAACAAGCTGAGGTTAGAAGCTGATTGGCTACCATGCACAGGTTCACCAGATTCTGAGTGCTCTAGTTTTAATAATCTCCCCCTATGTCTGAGTTACATAGTATACCAAGGAATCCATTCTAAGAATGCATTTCCTCCTGCGCTTTTACTTGACAGAGAACAGGAATTGATGCTCTTTGTTCAGTTTTTTACATTGTCTTTCAATTTGTAGGCATAACCTGGAGAAGTCCCTTCAGCAGGACCCGTGGGAGTCTGTGAAGTTGGCGGACGTGGGTATGAGCAATTCTCCTATTTACACTCTGCCTGTGGGTTATGAGAAGGACAGTATCCGTCTGAGCACAGTACAGATGCATTGCATTATCTCCCAGGGTGAAAAACCTGTTCTGACTGGTGCGGACCAGATGTACGGGGAAACCTATTACTATATATGCAAAATGGAGCACCGTATGCATGGCCTGAATAGAAGATGTGAAGATTAATGACAGGACTATATGCCAGATACAAATTGTAGCAAGAGGCTTAGAATACCACAAGGCTCTGAAGTGAGCAAGAGCATTAAAGGGAGCTGCCTGCTCAGTGAATGTCTTCAGAAGGCGGATTAGAATTGCAAATGAAATCATAAGTGAGAGGCTTCATTCTTCTCATTTTCAGTGACTGTGACAGTTACATGAGCTGGGATATTGAGATTGTTCCTGCCTTGTACTATTTAGACATAAATTACACACTACACCTGCAGTATGAAGAGGGTCTTATTGAATATGCATCGTATTCTGAGTCAGTAAATATATTTATTTGCATCACTGCACCTGAAGTATATTTTAATGCTGTATTTCTCTAATATGACAGCAGAAGATATTGGATAAAAATGATCTGAATACAAAGCTGCATTTATTCTGGATGCAGGCATTGCTGTCTTGTTTGGTTTAGATTTTAAAGTAACAGAACACCGCCAATTAAAATGGGGCCTAGGTAGAACAATTAGGTTCTTTAATTGTATTAATTACAAGATACAAGTTTGTTTAGAGTGTAACTGTTCAAAAAAAAAAAATCTGGCTTTCATCCCTGTGGATACAGTCTTTAAGATGAGGAGCTAAGAGCTCTGATGATGATGATGATGATGAGGAGGAGCTAAACGCCCTTTCATGATGATGATGAGGAGCTAAACGTCCTTTGATGATGAGGAGGGAGCTAAACGCCCTTTCATGATGCTGATGTGGAGCTCAACGCCCTTTCATGATGCTGATGTGGAGCTCAACGCCCTTTCATGATGCTGATGTGGAGCTCAACGCCCTTTCATGATGCTGATGTGGAGCTCAACGCCCTTTCATGATGCTGATGTGGAGCTCAACGCCCTTTCATGATGCTGATGTGGAGCTCAACGCCCTTTCATGACGCTGATGATGTGGAGCTCAACGCCCTTTCATGACGCTGATGATGTGGAGCTCAACGCCCTTTCATGACGCTGATGATGATGTGGAGCTCAACGCCCTTTCATGACGCTGATGATGTGGAGCTCAACGCCCTTTCATGACGCTGATGATGTGGAGCTCAACGCCCTTTCATGACGCTGATGATGTGGAGCTCAACGCCCTTTCATGACGCTGATGATGTGGAGCTCAACGCCCTTTCATGACGCTGATGATGTGGAGCTCAACGCCCTTTCATGACGCTGATGATGTGGAGCTCAACGCCCTTTCATGACGCTGATGATGTGGAGCTCAACGCCCTTTCATGACGCTTGATGATGTGGAGCTCAACGCCCTTTCATGACGCTGATGATGTGGAGCTCAACGCCCTTTCATGACGCTGATGATGTGGAGCTCAACGCCCTTTCATGACGCTGATGATGTGGAGCTCAACGCCCTTTCATGACGCTGATGATGTGGAGCTCAACGCCCTTTCATGACGCTGATGATGTGGAGCTCAACGCCCTTTCATGACGCTGATGATGTGGAGCTCAACGCCCTTTCATGACGCTGATGATGTGGAGCTCAACGCCCTTTCATGACGCTGATGATGTGGAGCTCAACGCCCTTTCATGACGCTGATGATGATGATGTGGAGCTAAACGTCAATGAGAAGCCACAGAACTGTATGTTTAGGTGCCAATCATGTTAATGGCACCTGAAAATGCGGCGCAGTTCTGCCACGATTGTAGCGCAACTTGTTGTGTGATATTTGCGGCAGAACCGCACCACGTTTCCAGGAACTTCTTTTGGTAACATGGATCATGCAATGTGGTTTTGCCGTGATTTCAGCTTGATTTATCACTCCAGAATTATAATGAATGGCACCTGAACACACGGTTCCACAATTTGTCATTTTAGCAGAGCATTGTGTAATTGCTGACAGAATCACAGCAATTTTGCCCGCAAATCAAAACTGAAGGGGCCTAATGTTAGGTCAAACAAAGGATATTGTTGTTGTTGTCTCCAGAAAAAATATCAATAACCGTAAAAGCACATTTTTTTGTAAGGGTGGCAAGACTACAACCTCTGCTTAGTTTATTCCTCCCATTTCCTGTGAGACCATGGGTACAGAAAGTAAGTGTTAAAGTGCAACTAAAGTCCCAAAACTTCTCCAGTGGTTACCCTGGATCCTCTCCATGAACCAAGTCTATTGGAGTTGCTAACCCATAATGCCACTCTTCCCTACCCACACCACTATGCCTCTCATACTGCCCCCCAGTCCACCCCCCCCCCCCCTTGCTCCCACCTCCTTTCCCTCTCAGTGACATGAAGAGTCACTGACCCAGTTTCACTCTAACAAACCATACAGGCGTTCATTCACAAATGTTTTAATTCTGCGCACACACACCCGTGCAATGTTCAGACGTTTTACTCATAGTATGCGACCGCGCATTTGTAACACACAAAGTTTGACCAGATAATTCCTGGAATGCCAGCGGTGTAGCACTATGGTGGTGAGTCACACAGCCATTCACATTCGAGCGTGTTCTGTGCAAACCCTCATATGCTCAGATCGAAGATTGAGTGTGTGAATGATGGCAGTAGAATTGAACAGGGAAACAGGGCGGCAGCTAACGGAGTATTTGGGAATGAGAAAGATTTCTGCAAAGATGGTGCCTCGAATCTTAACAGAAGATCAGAAGGAGAATTTGTGTTTAAGTTTCGTCTGACCTTTTGAAGAATGCAAAGGCGTTTGATTTGGATTATTACCGGTCCATTCTGGGAATTAAATTGTCACACCTCTTGTGTCACGTTTATATCGCCTTCCACATTGTTTGCATCGTTTTTGTTGTAGACTGATTCACTTAGGATCCATAACATGTGCTTCACTTTTTTTTTTTTTTTTTTTTCCTCTGCCACCTTACTTTTTGAAAATGAAATTAAAAAAAAAAAAAAAAACAGGTAAAAATAAAAACTTTACTGCTGTTTTGAATGGCACACCATGTTGGTCCTTCCTATCTCCATGGGAAATGTGAAATTGGAATGAAGCAGCCACTTCAAACACATGGACTAGGTGCACTGTTGCGCACAGCTGTCCAGATTATAAACCCGTAAAATGATCACAAAATCAGTAGGGCATTTTACCTAATCACATAATAGTTTCCTCTTTCATGCCATGAAATAAAAAACCTGCGTTGATATCTTTTATGCAATTTGCATGATACTGTGATTGCCTCTGGCTGTTAGGTTTCCTGTTGGTGTTTATTAGGAGTTGTAAAGTTTATTTGCTGTCTTCTTACATAATGATTCTAACTTCTCCAATATAACAACTAGATGCTATTTTCTGTTTTCTTTTGTTCTTTGGGTTCCATTTGGAGTAGTCTAGTTGCAGTGACAGCAGTTTATCCTGATAGTGATGTTTGCTCTTTTCTGCAGTACTGGTGTTGGTGGATGTTTCTGAGAAGTGGATGAGAAAGTCTTTGCACTTGGAGGTTTTCAAATGTATGTCCCAGAACCCAACTATTCCCAGCATCCTCATACTGAACAAGGTAAGTCTTAGCATATTAACCACTTCCAAGTCCATACACTTTCAGCCCTTTCTAGTCCAGGCCAATTTTCAGCTTTCAGCGCTGTCACACTTTGAATGACAATTGCGCTGTCATGCAACACTGTACCTAAATGAATTTAGCATTTTTTTTTAGACAGATACTACTTTCTTTTGGCGGTATATATTCACCACTGGGATTTTTATTTTTTGCTATATAAATGAAAAGCCAAAAATTTTGAAAAAATTTTTTCTTACAAAATTTTGCAAATAAATCTCTCTTCATAAATCTTGGCCAAAATTTATTCAGCTATATTTTTGTTAAAAAAAAATAATCAAATCAGTTTTTATAAAAAAAAATAGATAATTTTTCAAAATTATTATTTTTTTTTTTTACATTTTTATTTTTTGGAATTTTTATAAACTACTGTCACCCTAACACAGTGCTTCTCAAATAGTGGGGCGCAAGGCTCCGTCAAGGGGGGCGAGGCTCCGTACCGTATTTTCCGGCGTATAAGACGACTTTTTGACCCTTGAAAATCTTCTCAAAAGTCGGGGGTCGTCTTATACGCCGGTATACGTTAGGGTGGAACTTTTTAGGGGGGCGGCGCGGTGCCGCCGCCCCCCCCCCCCCCCCCTTCCGACAGAAGGGACACTAAGTACAGGGGTGGGCAGAGGGCTGCTGTCTCTTACCTGGCTCCCACGATGATCCATCCAGGAAGCGCTGCTCCTTCCGTCACTCCGGCCACTCCCTCACTCCTGCCGCTCGGCTCCGCCTCTTCACCGGTGATTGGCCGCCAGAACTGTAGCTCAGGAAAGGTACACAGGCGGCCAATCACGGCGAGGAGGCAGAGCCGAGCGGACCCGCGAAAATCGAGTGAGGGAAAAGCCGGTAAGTGTGCAGTGCAGAGGTGCTGCTGCAACCACATATGCTGGCTGCAGCAGCACCATACTGCAACAGGGGTCAGCAAGTGTCATTGGTGTCAGTGGGAGGAATAGTGCCGCATCATTGGTGTCACTGATACTAATGATGGGGCATTATTCCTCCCACTGACACCAACGATGGGGCACTATTCCTCCCACTGACACCAACGATGGGGCACTATTCCTCCCCCCCCACCGACACCAACGATGGGGCACTATTCCTCTCCCCACTGACAGGGTACTATTCCTCCCACTGACACCAATGTTGGGACACTATTCCTCCCACTGACACCAATGATGGGGGCGCCATTCCTCCCACTGACACCAATGTTGGGGCGCTATTCCTCCCACTGACACCAATGATGGGGCGCTATTCCTCCCACTGACACCAATGGGGACGCTATTCCTCCCACTGACACCAATGATGGGACGCTATTCCTCCCACTGACACCAATGATGGGGACGCTATTCCTCCCACTGACACCAATGATGGGACGCCATTCCTCCCACTGACACCAATGATGGGGCGCCATTCCTCCCACTGACACCAATGATGGGGCGCCATTCCTCCCACTGACACCAATGATGGGGGCGCCATTCCTCCCACTGACACCAATGATGGGGCGCCATTCCTCCCACTGACACCAATGATGGGGCGCCATTCCTCCCACTGACACCAATGTTGTGACGCTATTCCTCCCACTGACACCAATGTTGTGATGCTATTCCTCCCACTGACACCAATGTTGTGACGCTATTCCTCCCACTGACACCAATGTTGGGACGCTATTCCTCCCACTGACACCAATGATGGGACGCTATTCCTCCCACTGACACCAATGATGGGACGCTATTCCTCCCACTGACACCAATGATGGGACGCTATTCCTCCCACTGACACCAATGTTGGGACACTATTCCTCCCACTGACACCAATAATGAGGCACTATTCCTCCCACTGACACCAATGATGGGGCGCCAATGATTAGGTCCTAAGTAAATGTTGGTGATCGGTTTGAATTCATTATTATTTATTGATTTTATGTATTTTTTCAGTATCATATGGTTTGACATGTCCAATCAAAAAATGTTTATAGTTTAATTAAGGATTTAATTTTTTTTTAATTTCTAATGCACTTTAAATCTTTTTCTGCTACAGTTAATAAAGCTATTCTTTGTTGTAAATTGATCCACATTTCTTTCTTTTTTTTATTCTCTTATACGTTAATAAGGATACAGTGTTATGCAGAGGTGTACTTATAACAATTTTATAGACAAATTATACTATTTACAGTCGCGCGGGGGGGGCGCGCAAAATGTTTTCTTCTTCCTAGGGGGGTATGACAGAAAATAATTGAGAAGCACTGCCCTAACAGTACAGTGTCACCATAGTGACACTGTACTACTTGTGAGGGGTGATTGTGTGTGTGTGTATGTATGTATTATATTTTTTTTTTATGATTGCTTTAACAGCCTTTATGGGTGACCTCATGATCATTCACAGAATTCACAAGTAGTAAGCAATGCTGTCAGGAAGTGACATCTTGTTTACTACTGTTCATGTGATCACATGGGCAATCACTGATCATATGCATCGGGACCTCCCACAGCGGTCCTGTACATCGATCTGCAGTGGGCACAAATCCTAGGGAGGGCGCACAGGGAATGGATGCAGGGGGTCATTTAGAAACGTCCCCCCATATTGGCAACACTCTCCTCTGGCTGTTTATCGGCAATGGGCCGGATGGGAAGAGGTTAACCTAGCCATAGACTACTTGAATTTTGGTCAATTTAACCATAGGTGGCCCTGTCAGCACAACCTGGTTTGACAGAAGTCAATTTAAAGATTGAGCTGGGTGGAAAATCATCTTCTGAAGTGCATTTAATGAGATGATATTCTGGCAGCCGCAGGTGCTGCAACTGCTGAATACAAAAGCTGACAGCAGAGATTCCTCCATCTACCCTGGTTAGTGTGGATGATGATGGAATATATTGATTCCTCAAATTGAAAGATAAATGTAGAAAGAGAACACAATCAATAAAATACAAATACACCTTTAGTCTTTGTTTTCCAACATGCACATATATGCTTCAGCATACAAGCTGCCTATGTGTTGTACATGTCACACCAGGCCTATTTTCTTCTGGCAGTGATAAAATCATCCGTGGTTTTTCTCAGTTTGGTTATCTCAGATTAGCAGTTGCATTTATTTGTATATTCAGATGTCTTTGTTGTAACAATTTCCCATTGTGTATGGGTGTACCAGATACTCAGAAAGTGCTGGGCTCTCAGCATTATAGTTGACTAAGTAGGCTAAGGCCTTGTAGACACAGGCATACTATACCGTACATCCCTGTGAGATGGCTGATTTTGTCTGCACAGGGATACACAGGTGTTCTGTGCATCCCCATGCAGACAGTCCCTTTCAGTTCAGTTGGGATGCAGCAGCTGCACAGACACAGTGGCTGCTCCAAGTTTGACAGTTGTGCACATGCGCTGCCCCGAACACGCACCCACTGCATTCAGAGCCATGCGCCTGCACTCACACAGCTGTCAAATTGGGATCAGTTGCTGCATCCCTATTAAATTGAGTGCGACTGCTTATATGGGGATGCAGAGAACACATGCACTTTCCAGTGTGGGCAAACCTGTCCCTCGCACGGAGGTACGCTATAGTGATCTACTGATTACTGGCCTGGTTTTGTGAGAAAATCCCTATAGATTATATCAGAAACTCTAGGTGAAGCAACAAAATGAATGACTAATGTTGTATACCTCAACCTCCTTGTTTTTGGTACATGCTTTAGAAGAAAAAATATTGCATCATAAAATGTTTAGCCTGTCGCAAGAGATAAAAGTTATCTCCAGTGTCCTGCTATGTGTCCCATTAACTGTTTCACTCAAGTTACATCGAGTGGCAGCTCCCCTCCCCATCCACGATACATTGACTTCGATGCTTACTATTAGTTTTCAGGAATTGACATCTAACTTTCGATGCAGATACTGCTTTGGCCCAGGCTTTGATAAAGGACCAGATGTTTCCAGTACTTAGTAATTCATAAAGTAGGTTTAGACCAGGGGTCAACAGCCAGTAGATCTCAGTCAGGGCTTGCTGCCCCGCTGTCCCAGAGCTTCAGACAGAGTGCAGTGCAGAGGGACTACTTGCAAAGTTGGTGCTGTAGTAGGGAGCAAGAGCTGCATAAGTTGATGTCTCCTCTGTAGTGCTCGCTCTTACGCCCTGTCATGGTTGGTGGGTGTAGCACCTGCAAAGCATGACCCATTCAAGTGAATGAGGCCATTCTGCAAGTGACCTCCAATCTTGTGCAGTACAGCAAACAAGGGGTTAAACAATCAGCAGTGTGTTGCTTTCTCACCACATGCTTTAACCGCTTGGGCCCCGCAGAAGCATGCAGTTGTGGGGCACATGCAGAGAGGCACAATTTACCGTACTTGAATGGGTCTCAACTAACAGGTGGTTGCACCTACCAAAAGCAACAGGTGGTGTAATTTCTGCTGCGACATGTGTATACCTTTTGGCTGCTGCCTCAGCAGCTAAAGGGTGTAGGGATTGGGGGCGGTAAAACCATGACTCAACCGCAGGGTTTAAACCCATGATTGCCGTGCAAAGCATGCAATTGTGATACAGTAGTACAGCAATTAGAGGTTTAAATCTGGTGTGAGGAGGTGACACTGGCTGACACTGTGTCCGGTGATCTCTGAATTCTCCCATGTTGTTCAGGTAGATCTCCACCTCTTTAAGGTTGCCTACCCCTGGTTTAGGCTGTTACCGAATGACATGTTTGTTAAAACATTGTTTACCATAAACATTTTTAAAACAAAATGCACGTTTTCACCTTTTTATCTTTTTTGTTTCATCTCAGTTCTGCTACTCTCTTGCAGCCTCTTTACAGCCGCTTTTTATCCACTCCAGGGGTGGCTGCAAGGTTTTTCTCAGGGTGGGTTTCTTATGGTGACAACAAAGGACCTTTCTTGTATAATGTTTGTTGAAATGACCATTTGTAGTCTTCATTGGAAGCCTGTGCGACAGGGTGACAAAACAGAAAAGCAATTGGGAGATGGGATGGGTACAGAGAATTTTCACCCCAGGAAGTGTCTGAACAAGTGCCTTCATTTCAGGATAATTTTTTTTAATTGGATTTACATATAACCTATAAGGCTTCCATGTTAGCCACTTAGTTACCATTGTAAGTTTTTCAGCAGTGAATCGACGACCCTTTATTTACCCAAAACCGTCTATGAACTGCACAGGTTAAATAGCCGTCAGGTGTCTGATCCACACAGTGATCGCTGTGTTCTGAGCTGTCATTAGACATCTGGGAACACAGAGACATTGTAGCCAGGTGATCCTAGGGGTTGGGTACCATGTGATTGTTGTGATTGGTCAACACCGTGAACACATGGTATTGTTTGCAATGCTAATCCCTCCCCTTCCCCTTACAACAGGGGTAGAAGAGAGATTGAGCATCTCTGAATTGGTGCAGAATGAATAGATTAGCAGCTGCAGAACTCCCACATGTGCGCAGAAGTGACATCATCTCAGGTGGGTCAGTAAAAATGGCTGAAGATCGGTACCTGGAAGCTGATTCAGCCAAAGTTGACAGCAGCCGGTGGGGAGCTCCAGGAAACAACATTGCTGGATAGAAGGTACACGTATGCTTTAACCCTTTCAAGGCACTGTAAGGACTAGTAGGCTGCAATATTTTAAATTATTTTCTTCTTGGCTTTAGTATAATATAAATAGCTGTTTAGTCTTCCCAGACATGCTTCCCCTGGTAGCATTGTAAGTACCACACATTCCCATGTGTAAAGTACAGAAAATATTACATCCTGATTCTCTTCCCTTCCTTTAGGTTGACCTGTTAAAGGATAAAGGCTGTTTGTTGGAGATCACAGACACACTGACTGACGGAGTAGTGAAAGGGAAGAAAGCTAATGTACAGTCTGAGATAATAAGTTCACATAAAAAAACAAAAGATGACACATTTGTGAAGAAAGATGATGCCTGTTGGAACAGCACTGAACAGTCACAGGGATCTACAATACCTGATCCATCCTTGGATGCGCCTGCAGATCTTACTAAGAAGAAATTGATGCACAAAGACTTGGAAAAGGTTGGGTGGGCCCATTTTGAAGAGGTTTTCATGCTATCCGCCATAAGTGGAGATGAAGTAGAGACGCTAAAGGTAAACTACATTGTTTGACAACATTGATGAGTATATCTAAATCAAAAACGAAACCTAAATAGATCACTTACCAGTTCTTGGATGTGATAGCTGCATTCGTTTTCTGCAAGTACAGAAAACCTGTTGATTCTCCCAGAAATCTTGTATCCTTTTAACTTGGTCTTCCCAGATATCTGCTGTAAACTACAGAATCCCCCCCCCCATGTAATGGAGATGCGGAGAGGGAAGGTGTTTCGTCCAAATCAGCCTGCCTAGAGTGACAAAACCGCTACTCCCATACAGTACAGTGAGTGAGTGTTGTCACACAAGGACAGGAAGTGTGTTGTTGACCATACCACTAGGTGAAAAAAAGGGGGGAAAAATTTGAACGGGCAACTAATGGAGCCAGCACATCTGACATCTAAGGACTGGTAAGCTGTATTATACTACATTTTTGTTCTTGGGTTTAAATAAACTTTAAAGTGCTCAAGACAAAATTGAAAATAAAGGTTTGAGGAGCATAAATTGTGTACAGCCTGCCTGTTTAGAATTGTTGTTTTTAATGGAGGTATTGCTGTAGTGCATCAGTCCAGCATACATTTGTCTGTGAGCTGGTGATGCTAAAGTGTCACTCTTGCTACATTTCACATAGGGAAACCCTGATGTGCAAAAAGCTAGCACAGTGTAGAGGTGTCTTTCCCTCTTGCGTTGACTGTCAGTGGCAAGATGCCCCTCCCCCCACCTGCAATGGCATACATGGGAAAGGTGCTCCCATACTTTTTTTGATGGGGTTTCCACCCAGTAGGATAAAAAAACGTGTCCATTCCTGTTGGACCTCAAGACCAGCGTGGGCCTAGAGTGAAATCCTTTCACACTTCCTATAGGCCTGGCAACTTGTAATCATCGCACAATTTGTGGGATCTTGGTAGCATAACCCATAGTTCTTCCTGAATCTCCACATAATGGTTTTACAGAATTGCCAATGTAGTGGGTGGGTAGGCCATCATGCTTGGGCCAAACCACTACTTCAGTTCTACGTCATTTTATGCTGCTTGAAATACCCCCGATGCTGGTTATACCACATGTGTTGAGTCATTGAGTCATTTGACATATGCCCTCTCTGGCCAGTAACTTCTGTACCAGCAAAATGCCAAATAGCAGCATGCTTTCCCTGCATTAAGGTAAAAATAATTTTACTATTTGCTGTCCCACCCCCCAAATACCTACCGGAGTCCTGTATTGATCCAGCAAAGTGCCTGTCTTCTGGTCTTCTCCCTTCTTGCTGTCACAAGCTTGCCTGAGAACAGCATCCATTGGCTCCTGCTGTTATCAGTCAAATCCTGTTAGCGGGGGGGGGGGGGGGGGGGGGGGGGGGGTGAAGGGAACTTAGTGGGGCTCTGTGGGTCAGTGGACACACACAGTCCAGCTCTGGATTGCTCCCACATGTCGGTCCTACTAGCAAGTGCCAGCTATGGGGGCGGTGACCAAAAAAGGGGCTGCTTAATGCCATACCATTGCACAGAGTAGGTGAGCATAACAATTTTTATTATTTTAAGTTAGAAAATTGCCTTTACAAACGCTTCAATGCATAAGTGTACTTTAGTGGACATTAAGTGTTGACTACACAGTTACTGTGTTTAATGTATTTCAGTGGAAGGGAACCACTCATATCACCCATGTACTAAGCCTTGGAATTGATTCAGTGATCTCTTCCTTATTTACTGATATTTGACTGGATACAATGTAGAGAAAATTGTATGCTCCGACTAGTTGGGTCAGTTAATCTAAATCCACATCAAGCACAATATCACTTGTCTGTATTTTGCCTTGTTGCAGAGGTACCTGATGACTCTTGCCAAGCCTGGAGAATGGGTATTTCATAGTGATGTTGTTACCACCCAGTCACCCCAGGAAATCTGTGATAATATTATTAGAGAGAAGCTTCTGGAGTACTTACCCCTAGAGATACCATACAGTATCACTCAGGTAATATACACTAATCCTATATCTGGATTTCTTATTTTTTAGAACAGAAGCAACTTTTGGGATTTTACTGAAATGTGGGTACAATTGCTGTTTAAAATAAACCTGTAGTGAAAGAAATATGTATGCTGTCACTCTGTAAACATCTGGGAGCTGGATCTTGATATAGGAATCTAACTGCTCAATAGTCCTGGGTCGTCTTTATCATATTTTTTTTTTGTTTCAAGATGTGCCAGATATTTGCAATTGGTGAAAGGTCTGGACTGCAGGCAGGCCAGTTAAGCACTTGGACTCTACTACGGAGCCATGCTATTGTCATAGATGCAGTATTGGGTCTTGCATTGCTCCCCAAACTTGTACAAGGCCTTCCCTGAAAACGGCATCGTCTGGATATATCTTTAAGCATTGGTGCCTTTTTTTTTTTTTTTTAAGTCCGCAAACGTGCAACTATAACGAAAAACCCGTAAGTGTTTCACAAAAAAGTGCAAGTGCAAAAACACCACACAAAAAGTGCACTTAGGGGTGTGCTGTGTCCTACCCCTAAAGGGGCTTGGACCGCTTACCCTGATCCCCCGGGGCACGAAGCTCCTGACGGGGACAAGGTTCCCACTTGGTCCTCCTGGCCAAAAGGCCTGGTGGACCACCGTTCCCTATGCCCAGCCGAAGCCGGACATTCAGTACTAGGCAAGGGGACTCTCCCGAAGAAGAGTCCTCTAGGGATCAGGGGAGGAAGGAACCGTATGGCCACACATCCTCCCCCTAGACTTCAGGGTAGGCCCGAGGACCACACCCTCCATCCGTGAAAAACACACACATAAGGCAAAGAAAAAGTGACAAACGTGGGTAAGTGCATAATAAATAAATAAATAAGAGAAAGAAAAAAAAATAAAAAAGTGGTACCGTGCCGAATTGTGCACAGACCAGGCCCTGAGGCCCGTAGCAAAAATTGCCCTGAACTTAGCCAAAAGGCCTGGTCCTTAGGGCGCTGTGCAAAAAGAGGTGAAAAAACAGTGACCATGTGTCATCTTCACACCGTGGGGTCCCACACCCAAGTGTTACTAGTGACACCCCTGAGGCGACTACTCAGGGGGCACTGAGTTTGCGGACTTTTTGCGTCCCCAGCCCCAGGCCAGACCAAGGTAGATCCGTCCAAATCAGGAGGTACTGGGTCTTTCCAGTCTTCTCAGAGGGATTACTCCCGGGGCCCCAGCTTAACTCGTGGCGCTCCCCCGGTTTCTCTCCCTCCGGTACTAGCCTTCCGGACCCCCATCATACCAGTGAGGGTACTATACAACAACCATCCCCGCAAAGCTAGAATGGTCGGGAGCACCCCCACTGGACACTGATAAGAACAGATACTACACTTGATCTTAGCCAAAAGGCCGAGAAGCATTTAATTTAAGCATTGGTGCCTTTCCAGATGTGCAAGCTGCCCATTCCTTACGCACTAACAGCCCCCCCTCCCCATACCAACTTACCATCAGGGATGAAGGCTTTTTAACTGAGTGCTGATAACAAGATGAGAGGTCCCTTTCCTCTGGAGGATGCTGCACCTGTGCTTGCCAAAAAATAGTCAAATTTCGATTCATCTGACCACAGCACAAATTTCCATCTTGCATCAGACCATTTTAAATGAGCTTTGGCTTTACTGTGTTCATAGGCAGTGATTTCTGGGAGCATGCCTGAGCCAATGCAGTGATAACCATCACAGAATCATGCCTGTTTTTAACCAATTCAATACCGGGCAATTTTACACCTTCCTGCCCAGGCCATTTTTCAGGTTTCAGCGCTCTCACACTTTGAATGACATTTGCACGGTCATACAACATTGTACCCAAACTAAAATTTTATCATTTTCTTCACACAACTAGAGCTTTATTTTGGTGGTATTTAATCACCACTGGGGTTTTTATTTCTAAATTAACAAAAAAAGACCAAAAATTTTGAAGAAAAAAACACACTTTTCTTTGTTTCTGTTATAAAAGTTTACAAATAAATAATTGTTCTTCATAAATTTAGGCCAAGATGTATTCTGCTACATGTCTTTGGTGAAAATAACCCAAATTAGGATGTATTTTTTAGTTTGTAGGAAAGTTAATAGAGTTCACAAACTATGGTATAGATCTGAATATTGATCAGTCCTGAAGTACTGACAGCCAATCTAATTTCTTGAGGTCCAAGAATGTCAGAACAGTACAGATATCCCCCAAATGACCCCTTTTTGCAGAGTAGACAGTCCGACGTACTTCATAAGAGGAATGGCAAGATTTTTGAAGTTGTATTTTTTTGTTGTCATAATTTTTCGGAAAATTAAAAAAATTTTCACTATTTTTTTTTTTTTTTTTTTTTACATACTGTCACCAGTGCAGTACAGTGTCATCATATAACGGCAATGGTGGTGATCAGGGACACTGACTGGTGACAGTATGAAAAAAAATATATATATTTTTTAAATTTTTTATTACTTTTTCTTTAGATTTTTTTTTTTTTCATATTTCACTATGACCAAAGTAGTACAATGTTACCATAGTAACATTGTACAACTTTGGGGAAGTGATCAGTATTTTTTTTTTTTTTTTTTTTTTTACACACTTTGCTTATAGCAAAGAATTACTTTGCTATAAGCAAGCATTTACCTGAATGACATCAATTCATTCAGGGTTTTTTTTTTTTTGTGCTTAGCTGTGATTTGGCCACAGCTAATCACATGGCCTGTGATCGCTGTGACCATTCACAGCTAGACACTAGTATACAATGGATGGCATGAATGAAGCCATCCATTGTATACAACTGTCATGTGACCTGCTGTGATTGGCCACAGCAGGTCACATGGTACCGGCAACGGGGGCCGGTACTCAGATCTGTCATCGGCCGTGTCCGAGGTACACGGCTGGTGACAGATCGCGCCGCTGCGCATGTGCAGGAGGACGCTAAATGGCGTCCACCCCAGAAATCTAGTGCATTTTTGCGGCTGCCAAACGGCCATTGGCCAGGCGGCAAATGGTTAATGCAGTGCTGTCTGAGGGTCTGAAGGTCACAGGCATCCAATACTGCATTTTGGCCTTGTCCCTTGCACAGATTTCCCTATCTCTTTGTATTTTTTGATATTCTGTACTGTAGATTATGATATATTCAAAGCCTTTGCAATTTGGTTGAGGAACATTATTCTGAAATTGTTCAACAATTTTTAGATGCAACTTTTCACAAATTGGTGAACTCCTGGGACACTCTGACTCTCTAAGATGCTTTTTTTTTTATACCCATTCATGTTACTGACCTGTTGCCAATTAACCTAATTTTGCAAAATGTTTTTCTAGCTCTTCCTTATTAGTACCACTTATTTTGCCAACTTTTTGTTACTCTGTCCTAATTCATTTTTTTTTTTCTTAAAATGGTTCATTTTAAAACATTTGATATGTTTTCTGTTGTGAATAAAATATGGGTTTATGAGATTTGCAAACCATTGCATTCTGTTTTTATGTAGATATTTTTACAGCGTCCCAACTGTTTTGGAATTGGGTTTGTTTTATGAGGTAACTTACCCAAACTAACCATTCAATTTGTATACGACCAGGCAGGTCCGATAGATAGATAGGTAAATAGAGGTGTGTATGTGTTTGTAATAAATAAATTAAGCTATGCTTGCAGTTCAGTACTAATTTTGCACCAACAAGGCACACCGAATACATGTAGTCCCTAACTCTAAACTATTGGAGTTCCCAGCTCTGTGAAAGATGTACTGTGTGTGTGTGTGTGTGTGTGTGTGTGTGTGTGTGTGTGTGTGTACAGTGCCTTGAAAAAGTATTCATACCCCTTAAAATTTTCCACATTTTCTGATGTTACAACCAAAAACGTAAATGTATTTAATTGGGAATTTATGTAATTAAGCAACACAAAGTGGCACATAATTGTGAGGTGGAAGGAAAATGATAAATGGTTTTCAAATAGTTTTACAAATATCTGAAAAGTGTGGCATGTATTTGTATTCAGCCCCTTTTATTCAGATATGACTAACTAAAATTTAGTGGAACCAATTGCCTTCAGAAGTCAGCTAATAGTCCACCTGTGTGTAATTTTAATCTCAGTATAAATACAGCTGTTCTGTGAAGCCCTTAGTGCCCATTCATATATATGCGTATGGTGCCTGTTCACATATGTCCAGTGCACTGGCGGTGAGGATTCAGCGCCGTTTTTAAAGAGAGTCATGTACGATTTCTGAACAGTGTGGTACAGTTCAGGTACAGTACAGTACAGGCTATTGACTTCTATGGGAACCGTTTCTAAACCACAAATGTGTGAACAGGATAAGATCCTGAGCTAATCCTGTCCTGAACCTGATGTAAACCTGACGTGAACCTGTGAACAACTACTGTATCAATTAGCTGTGAAACCTGAGCTTCATTCCGCATGGCACATGTTTTGTCAGAAAACATTAGTGAGAAAACAGCATCATGAAGGCCAAGGAACACACCAGACAGATCAGGGATAAAGTTGTGGAAAAGTTTAAAGCAGGGTTAGGTTATAAAAAATAAAAATATTCCAAGCTTTGAACATCTCACGGAGCACTGTTCAATCCATCATCTGAAAATGGAAAAAGTATGGCACAACTGCAAACCTACCAAGAAATGGTCGTCCAACTAAACTGACGGGCCAGGCAAGGAGAGCATAAGGGCTCATGTACACTGCAGCTCCTAAACTGACGTTCAGGAGCTGTTCAGCGGTTTTTTTCAGCAGCCCCTGAACTCTCCCTAATGTTTTCATATGTGTCCATGTACACAGTCTTTTACAGTCAGTTTACAGTTGTTTTTTTGAACGCACCAAACTTGCGTTTAGGAGCAGATTTTACTGGCATTTGAAACGCCAAACGCGGTTAACTGCGTTTAAAAGCGTTTGCGTTTAGAAGTGTTTTTTTAACTGTTCCATATCCAGATGCTGTCCAGAGCCTTTTTTTCATCATCAGAAATGCATGCAAAGTGTTTTCCATGTATTCAAATGGACCTAGCACACCAGCACAGTCAGTTCTAGGTTTTGTGTGAAGGAAAAATGGTAGAACGTGCTGCGTTATGCTCATGATGGGATCCATAGTGAATACAACCAGAAAAGACAACTGATCTAAACACATACTGATCTCTCTGCTTCTGCTCTCTCTATTTCTCTCAAAATGTCTAAAATAGTTAATTATTTACTATTTTCAGGGCATTTGGGAAGGTCTCCTGAGGTTATCTTTTAAAAACGCTTGCAAACGTACATAAACGCTGTATGCAAACTGACGTTTTTTAACCTACGTTTTCCAGCAGTCAGTTTCCAGCATTCCAAACGCCCTGTGTATATGAGCCCTTAATCAGAGAAGCAACCAAGAGGCCCATGGTAACTCTGGAGGAGCTGCAGAGATCCACAGCTCAGGTGGGAGAATCTGTCCACAGGACAACTATTGGTCGTGCACTCCACAAATCTGACTTTTATGGAAGCATGGCAAGAAGAAAACCATTGTTGAAAGAAAGCCATAAGAATTCCCATTTGGCCATGAGGGAAAACTTAAAAGAAGGTGCGCTGGTCAGATGAGACCAAAACTAAAATTTTGGCCTAAAAGCAAAACACTATATGTGGCGGAAAATGAACACTGCACATCACCCTGAACACACCATCCCCACCGTGAAATATGGTGGTGGCAGCATCATGTTGTGGGGATGTTTTTCTTCGACAGGGAAGCTGGTCAGAGTTGATGGGAAGATGGATGGAGCCAAATAAAGGGAAATCTTAAAAGAAAACCTGTTAAGTCTGCAAAAGACTTGAGACAGGGGCGGAGTTTCACCTTCCAATTGTTCAACAACCCTAAAAATACAGCCAGAGCTACAATGGAATGGTTTAGATCAAAGCAATTTCTTGCAGCTTTAATTGCAGCGAAAGGTGGTTCTACAAAGTATTGATATTGACTCGTTTTTGGTTTGTAACATGACAAAATGTGGAAAATGTCAAGCGGTATGAATACTTTGTGTGTGTGTGTCCTCTATACTACCTTGTGCTATTAAAAATTATTATTCTGCATGAATAAATACAGCAAATACAAAATATGCATATAACTTACATTTTCTTTTAAAGGGAATGTAGTGGTTTTTCTACATATACTTTCATTTTCTGGAATTCCCTATTTCTGCAAACGATGCCACCTGAGCTCGGGAGCAGTTTTTGTGATCTTCATTCTTTAAAATCTAGAGGTAGAGGGCAGTGTATGTATTTATTATTCTGCAATATATTTCTCCTATTAATAGTATGAGTTAAAAATAAGAAACATAATAGGTGCACATATGATTGATGGAGAAGTATTTTGTTTTTCTGCAGTTATTGTTTTACTGTTATCATTGTACTGTGTATACAGATCAGAGCTGTAGTAGAGCCTGCTATTGAGATGTATAATGTAACCTCTCACCTTATTGTTTATCACTTTTATCACAGGTTACAAATTTATGGGAAGAAGGTTCCAGTGGTGAACTGGTTATTATGCAAACATTGCTGGTAGCAAAAGAAAACCATGTGGTGAGTTGTTTATCAGACCACTAAATTAGTGGTGCACCGAAATGAAAATTCTGGTGCCGAACCTGAAAATTCAGGATGCACTTGGCCGAAAACCGAAATGGATAGTTTTAAAAATGAATATATTTTTCAAACGCATATTTTTTTGGAAAAAATACACTTTAATGATTTACCCAACATGTCATGCTTTAAAATTGTGCACGCTCATGGAATGGCGTCAAGCTACAGTACTTAAAAATCAGACCACACATCTCTTCTCTACAATGTAAAGCATTAGCTCAAAAAAAAAAAACCCAGTGATCTAGTGCTTTGAAAAAAAAAATGGCCTTGTTTGCAAGGCGCTGGAACCGGAAGTGACGTTGCTCCAGTCCCCCAAGGGCATAGAGATGAATGGAGGCCATCTATCCTTCACTTATCTGCCCAGCGCTGGGATCGTTCGGTGGTTTCTCAGGTAAGGCTGAGAATCACCGAGCGGGGCGCGACCATTGGGTGGGTGGCGGTGAGGGACGGGGTTATTTTTGGCACCTGTATTGGTGCTTATTTTCATATCGGCCAAAGGCCAATAGGGGTGTTTTCGGCCGAAACGCTTCAGCTACCGAAATTTCGGTGCATCCCTATACTGAATACAAGTTTCACCAGTCAGAAAAAAGTAACAGCTTTAATACCCACACATCCCCAGAATCTTTCCTTTGCCTCCACTCCTGGTCCAATAAACATCAGGAGCTGCAGAACATACCCCTTCTTCATACTTCTGGGTATGATATGCACTGTCTGGCAGGGGTGCCAGAATCCGAATTACAAGTCCTCTAGCAGGTTCTCTTTTATGTATTCCATCAGTGTGTTTACCAGCTTGGCTGGAGGGAATCTTTAAAACCGCTAATTTGGTGACAATGATTGGAAGATATCAACACGGATGGAAGAACACGCAGGAAACTTAGGGGACTTTTCACCCAATCATCGGACATGCTTCGCCTGTGTCATGACACTTATAAATGTTACTGTTATTTCCTCAGTAAAGTAGAAATTAGGAAGTTGGCAAACTGCATTCTGTGCCAGTGTCTTACTTCCACGTGCACGTATTCTCACATTAATTAGGCTCACTGGTAGATCACAACAGCTGTGGTCGGTTAAGTGATCACAGCCAAAACAGTTTCTGATATGTAATGAAGCCCATAGATGATTTGGTTTTCATTCCTTTCACTATGGGTGGAAAGAAAATCACTTGATTCCCACATCAACACAGTCAATGCTAATGGGGGGGGGGGATGATACCTGATGCAGTGCTATTGTGTTCTGCTAGTGGGGTGTGTGGGTAGCCTTCCTGATCAGCATAACATGATTACTGCTAGTGGCTATAGCCGCTAGCAGTAATTGTATGTAAAAAATTATTAGGCTGGTTGTACCAATCAGCCAAGTCAATCAGCCTTTCATACATTGATTGAATCTCAGTCCATGTATGGCCGGCTTAAATGTTATGTCTTGTTACAGATTTATTTACTGTTAGCTCTTCTGTTATGCAAAATTGTGGTATAGCGTTGATTTTCCTTTTAATAAGCAAATATGTTATGTTTTGTTTTTTTTTTCTTTGGACAGAAAATAGTAATTGGTCCTGGTGGGCAGCTCATCGGCAGGATTGCCAGCGAGGCTGGACGAGACTTAATGAACGCTTTTCTCTGTGATGTCCGACTGCGCCTTTCTGTAAAGTTTAAAAAGTGATGTCAATGGATTGTGTAAATGGACATTTTCCTTATAACAAAGCCCCAAATGGATTAAACACACAATGCTGGAAACCAGGCCTGCCTGCCATTGGCTGTAGCACAGTTTGGGCTAAACTGAGAGCATGCGAGTTGCTGGAAGACTCCTGTGATACAGAGGGGCCAATTCACTAAACTGAATTTATTTTATTGCTAATGATTTTCTCATCAAAACATTCAGTTTACTTCCATAAATCATCCATTGCTATGCAGTCACTTTGTTTTTGTATAAAATAGCAAATAAACTGTTTTATTTTTCGTGAATCTGTCATTTTTCTCATAGTGTTGTGTGAAAATTCCAGTAGGTCAGCAGTGTTTGAAATAGTCAGACCAGCCCGTCTGGCACCAACTACCATGCCATGTTCAAAGTAGCTTAAATCTATTTTCTTCCACATTCTGATGCGCGGTTTTTAGTTCAGCAAGTTGTCTTCACCACATCTAGATGCCTAAATGCATTGAGTTGCTGCGATGTGATTGGCTGATTAGCAATTTGTGTTACCAAGCAATTGAACAGGTGTACCTAATAAAGTGGCTTGTGAGAGTATATCCTGGTGGAGTGGGACAGATGATTGAGTGTCTTGTCAGGGATGTTATAAGCCCCCTAATAGTAACTTTACACTGCAGGACCATGAAGGTTATAGCTTGTACCGCTGGACACCCAGTGGGCCCTAAACTCTTGCCCTTGTTTTAAGGTCAGGCAACGGTGCATAGAGACCGGCCAAAGAGACTTTACTTGGATTTATAGGAATATTTGCCATTAAGCATTTTATCTTGATTAAAATTGGAGCTGCATTTTTATTTTACCAAAGATTTTATTAAGCATGTTGATGGAAACATGCAAACCATGACAAATCATATGATACAAAGCGACAACAAACAGTAGAGGATAGGGAAACCTTAAACAATAAATACAGAAATACACATATAAGACCCACGTTGGGGTCTAGGTAACACTGTGTAAGGCAGAGGGCCATGAGGCCCACAACGACATTCAGCAATATAAAGGCTACATCCAAGAAGACCGTGAAAAAAAAAAAAAAACCACGGAGAGCCAAGCCCTCATGAGGCAATATTGTCCCTGAGAATCATAGATTTGTTAGATGACAATAACAAATGATAGACAATAGGTCTAATACAAAAAACCATATAAAAGAAGAGAGAGAGAAGAAAAAGAGTCAAGTAGATCCAGAGAGGGCCAAGGGGGTCAACCCCCCACTCTGTAGAAAACTGAAAAACAAAAGTCAGAAAAATAGCGGAGAGAAGAAAGACACAGACCAGCAAAGAAAAAGAGTTTGCCGGGGGGGGGGGGGGGGGGGGCGGGGAGACACGATCCCCATAGTAGGGGAATGGAGAGGCAAAACCCAACAAATCATAGGTTAGTAAGTTTCGTCGTAAAACGAGAAACCGGATGGTAATCCACCCACGGTTGCCAGAAACAAAATTATGTTTATCCTCCAACACCACCGTCAGTTTTTCATTGATAAAGAAACCTTGTGTTCTGGACCTGACCTCAAACTGTAGAGTAGGGGATTTCCAAGAACAGGCAATAGTCTGCTCAGTAGCCATAAAAAAGAAATTGACCAATGAGTGGGGTTTGCGAGGTAGGCCACAAAGTGGTTTAAAAAGTAAGGCCTCAATAGGATCTTTTTTAAGGTTAATGGACGTAACTGAATAAAATTATAAACTCTAGTCCACAAGCAGCAGGCCACTGGACAGGTCCGCCAAATGTGGAGCATCGTACCCTCTAGAGAGCAGCCCCGGATACACTTAGAGTCATAATCTGGAATAAATTCAGCTAATCGAGATGGGATAAAATAACCTCTCAAAATGACTTTATAGGAGTTCTCCAATGCCAGTATATTGCGAGAGCATTGGGAAACTCCTTGCCACATAGATCCCCAATCCTCAGCAGGAATTTCTGTCTGAAGCTCCACACTCCATTGCGCTCAGTAAGCAGGTAGAGGTTCAGCCATATGATTCCGGATTGATAAATACATTTGAGAGAGTGCACCTTTAGTGGAAGCCGATGCCTTACAAAGCAATTCAGAAAAAGTGTGGGGGGAATCCAGTCCACGAATCGAAGGTGCAACAAAATGACGTTATTGCAAATAACGAAATGATTCCAATGGGGGAATAGCATGCCTCGACCCGTGATTAACGAGTGAACCGTCAAAAACCATGAGTTATCCACCAATGAAAGGCTATCTTATCAGAATCCCCTGGGGGAAAAAGTGGATAGTCAAATAATTGTAAAAGAGATAAGTGCGGAGAAAGGAGACCCGCCAAATACTTACACGAGTCCCAAATTTTTAAAGAGTGAGTCAGGACAGGATTCAACAGTTGAGGATGGAGGAAGCCAGGGCAAGGCTGAAGATGAAGGGGATGTGTGTCCCAAAGTATCTATCAGTGCCCACAAGGGTAAGTCTTTGTGAGAAAAAAGCTGAGTAAGGGGAGTAACTTGGGCCGGAATATAGTAATGAACATTTGAAAGACCAAGACCACTCCGAATAAGTGGGCGGAACTGTTTAGACAATTGAGGACGTCTCGAAGCCCAAACAAACCCTAAAATTTGGCGTTGTAAGATACGGAGTGTATGGGGTGGAATCCGAACAGGGAGCACCCAAAAAGGATAAAGTAACTTAGGAAGATAAGTCATTTTAATCACTTGAGCCCTACCAAACCAGCTTAAGGACATGGACTGCCAAGAAGAGAGCAACTGGGTTAGCTGAGAAAGCAGAGGAGGTATATTCACCTGATACAACAAATCATAACAAGGTGTACGTTTAAGTCCCACACAAGGAAGAGAGGAGGTCCATTGAAACGGAAATTGGGATTGAAGGTGTTTCACAAGCTGTTGGGGAATGGAAACGTTCATAGCCACTGACTTAGTAGGATTTGCATGTAATCCTGAGAGATGAGCGAAATCAGTCAAAAGCGATAAGAGATTGGGAGAGAAATAAGTGGAGACGGAAGATACATCAGAATATCATCCGTAAAAAGGGCAATCTTATGATGCAATCCTGCTAATTTCAGACCCGAAATGTCCGGATGAAGCCAAATGCAAACAGCGAGGGGTTCAAGAGCCAAGATGAAAAGAAGAGGGGACGGGACAACACTGACGCGTACCACCCTTAATTGGAAACTGAGAGGGTTCAACTCCATGATAACAGACTGTAGCGGACGGAATACTGTAAAGTCTATAAATCCACTGAAGAAAATAATTTCCCACACCCCACCTCTGCAAGGCCCTCTGTAAATAAGTCCAGGAAAGAGTATCAAAAGCTTTAGTCATATCCAAGGACAAAAACATAAAATCACGGGACTGCAGTCGAGTGAAATGACTAATTAAAATAGAGTGCCAAATACTATCAGCCACCTGGCGCCGAGGCACGAAACCCACTTGATCCTTATCAATTAAGGTAGGGATTAACACAATCTATTAGCCAGAGTTTTCCTCAGAATTTTCACATCCACATTCAACAGAGAAATAAGGCGATAATTCGGCCATGATTGCTGATCCTTCCCCGGTTTGGGAATCATCACAATCTGGGCCTTTAGCATTTCCGAAGTCAGGTGACCATCCCACTTGAGCTGATCAAATACCTGGGCCAAAACAGGAATTACAACATCACTAAATTGTTTTTATAAAAGAGCCATAAAGCCATTCGGGCCAGCACGCTTATGCACCTTCAAAGATTTGTTTGCTGAAACTCATCCTGTGTAATATCAGCGCCCAACATGTCCCTTTGATCATGTGATATATGAGGTAAAGGAGTCTCCTGAAGGCACGTGTCGATGACATCAGCTGGGGCATCCCCCGAGCCAGCATAAAGTTTCTAAAGATGATGAGAAAACTCATCCACTAAATGCCTGGGGTTAGAGGCTCTCTGATATTTCCTAGTTGTCAGAGTATAATGATGTCGTCGAGTGGCAAAGGATCGTAACTTATTAGCTAACATAGTCATAGAGGGATCATCAATGCACCCCACATACACTATATTGCCAAAAGTATTGGGACGCCTGCCTATACACGCACATGAACGTTAATGGCATCCTAGTCTTAGTCCGTAGGGTTCAATATTGATTTGGCCCACCCTTTGCAGCTATAACAGCTTCAAGTCTTCTGAGAAGGCTGTCCACAAGGTTTAGGAGTGTGTCTATGGGAATGTTTGACCATTCTTCCAGAAGAGCATTTGTGAGGTCAGGCACTGATGTGGGACGAGCAGGCATGGCTTGCAGTCTCTGCTGTAATTCATCCCAGAGATGTTCTATCAGTTTGAGGTCAAGACTCTGTGCAGGCCAATCAAGTTCCTCCACCCTAAACTCGCTCATCCATGTCTTTATAGACCTTGCTTTGTGCACTGATGTGCAGTCATGTTGGAACAGGAAGGGGCCATCCCCAAACTGTTCCCACAAAGTTAGAAGCATGAAATTGTCCAAAATGTCTTGGTATGCTGACGCCTTAAGAGTTCCCTTCACTGGAACTAAGAGGCCAAGACCAAGCCCTGAAAAACAACCCCACACCAAAATCCCTCCTCCACCAAACTTTACACTTGGCACAATGCAGTCGGGCAAGTATCGTTCTCCTGCCAAACCACCAAACCCAGACACGTCCATTGGGAGTGCCAGAAAGAGAAGCGTGATTCATCACTCCAGAGAACACGTCTCCACTGCTCTAGAGTCCAGAGCACCACATCTGACTCTTTGCATTGCACTTGGTGATGTAAGGCTTGGATGCAGCTGCTTGGCCATGGAAACATATTCGACATCTGTGCACTTCAGCATGCACTGATCCTGCTCTGTCATTTTACGTGGCCTATCACTTCATGGCTGAGTTACTGTTGTTCCCAGTTGCTTCCACTTTGTTATAATACCACTAACAGTTGACCGTGGAATTTTTAGTAGCAAAGAAATGTCACGGATGGATTTATTGCACAGGTGGCAATGTATCACGGTACCACG